GGCCACACTAATGTTGTTTTGTTTCAATGATAGCCATGGAGATAGGGGTATTCATGGCTGTCTTCTTAAGTTTACATTTGTCAGTCCAGAGCCTATAATAACCAATTATGCAATTGCAAAACAGGGGTTCCTGTTCAGCCTCAAATAAACCAAAAGCGTATTGATATCATATGTATATTGACATGGCATTATTACATTATTAAATAATAATCGATGCATTGTCAAAATGGAATTCATACTTGTTTTTCTCAAATCAAACTATAACCATTGGGGGTAACTCAACATATGGGGTAAGGGGATCCCAACAGGTTTTCAACTTTCCATTTGTCACTTTGTGTTGAAGACAGGAATGCATACCTTTTCTTGTGTTCAAATCGCCATAGACCATGGGTAACTAGTCAGTGTTCAGAAAGGCTTAGACCTCCAGATGTCAGGTTCTTCCCTAGGAATCCCATAACTGTTGCAGGAAGGACTAACAGTGTGGTAAAGTCAACACAGTTTAATGCTTCACATTTGGGTAGTACTACCATCTGCCATGGTCTTCTGCCATCTGCTATACAGGGCTGAGATTATTCAGAAATCCATAACTACCAAAAGGCACCAGTACACCACCAGACCTATCTATGTGCCAAATATGGTGAGGAAATATTAAACAGTTTAAAGTTCTGCTCCGGAAAAGAGCACTACTTCCAATTTCAGTCGAAGTCAAACTTGTTGCCATGGAAAAGTAAAAAAATATTTTATTCAGAAATCCTAAACTATCAAAAGGCACCACCAGACCTATCTGTGTGAGACGCTTGGTGAAAAAAATAGTGTACGATTTTTAAGTTCTGCCTGGGAAAGGAGCACCAACACCATTGCAGTCTAAGTCAAACTTGTTGCCATGGAAACGCAAAAAATATATTTTATTAAGAATTTAAAACTACCAAAAGGCCCCAGTACACCACCAGACCTATCTATATGCCAAGTTTGGTGAAGAAATAGTAAACGATTTTTAAGTTCTGCTCCGGAAAAGAGCACCAACACCAATTTCAGTTGAGGTCAAACTTCTTGCCATGGAAATGCAAAAAATATTTTATTCCGAATTCCCAAACTACCTAGAGGCACCAGTACACCACCAGATGAATCTATGTGCCAAGTTTGGTAAAGAAATAGTAAACGGTTTTAAAGTTCTGCTCGAAAAAGACTTAATGTGCATGGATGGATGCACGGACGTTTTAATACCCCATGAAACGTGTGGCAGGGGATAAAAAGGTGATAGTGAATTGATGAGTGGTACTCCTTTGTTCTCGTTTAATTTGCCTGGTACTGGGAATGCCAAATCTTGTGTCAGTGAACTGTGTCTGAGCTATAACACACTCTTTGTCCTCTTGAGGTGATTTAGTGCAGCGTGTTTGTGACAGGATGAAATGTTTGTATACATTTATATAGAGTTATTATTCTTTAGTTTTAACTAAATTAAATATTCACTTTGGTGTATCTTAAACATCATATACTTCACTCTTCAGCTTTTCTAAACCCCTCTCTCAACTTACTGCATGCGTTTTCTGCCTCAGACACAATCACCAAGAGCACTGCCACACAATAGCCTACTCAAGCTCGCCCACTTATTGTCCCTTTGTCGTAAAACTTGTTAGCTTACTGTCCCTTGTTTAAAGTTTTGAGTTTATGTAAAGTTCAGGATATTTCTACTGTCAGCTGGTCACAAAAGCACTTGTGGATATGGGATAGTGCATATTTGGATTTTGACATTTATTTTTGAGCTCATGGGATCATTTCTGAGTCTCTTTCAATACTTTTGTAGTATGTAAATTCATGTGGTGTGTATAGATATTGTGTTTACGCTTTGATAATTTGGCTGCTTTGTCATATTGTAAATATTGAGTAATTTATGATAACTAATTGTGCTGCAGAATGTTAATGCATTATCAGTGTATCGGTAATTATTTATGAAAGGTAAATAGTGTGTAAAATGTATGTGTAAATTTATGAATGTATGAATGTATAATGTGTGAAAGTATGAATGAAGCAAGGTTTTACCATTATATATATATTAAATGTTTCTCATTACTCAACAATAATTAGCCTGCACAGTGTGTATATGTTTATTTATTCATGCAGATAATGAGGGGCTTTAAAAAGTTCAAAGCCCAACCAAGAAACGACACAAATGCGGCTGCTTTTATTTTTCTACTTTCTACATATTATCTGTCAACCTTAAGCAAATTGGTTTTGCTATGTTCCAGCCTCATGATCACCATTTTTGTGACTTTTTATCTTGGTACCCCTAAAAAATGCAAAATAAGCAAAGAAAAGTCCGCTAGAATCAAAGTTAGATATAGTAAAGTGCATAAATATGTAATTTGAAACTACAGTCGCTTGTTTAAGCGACTCACCCTTCATGTTTACTGAAAGAGCTTGTTTTGGAGACATTACCCTCTTTCAGATGATGTAATCATAAGGATATCACTTATTCCAATGTTTTCACTTATTCATACATGATGCCAAGGGTTCAAACTAAATACTGAATGGTCACACAAGTGTCAGCTCTCAATATATTTTATACAGTGCCAGCTTGAACATTTGGACACAATGTTTTTGAAAGATCAAAATGGGGTTATCCTTAAAAAAATAGCCCCATCTAAATATAAATCAAGCAATCCAAACCTTTGAATGTTGATTATGACGGGTAGTCATCCAATACTATACTGAACACATTTTATATATTATCTGAGAACATACCATTATGCAAGAGGTACCAAATGACAGATCGTTCTTCATTTTCTGCAATTTTTAAAGAGTGAGTGAGTTAATATTTAACGTCACATCGGCAATATCTCAGCCATATCGTGATGATAAATTTTTAGAGAAATATTATACCCCAATCAGGGTTTTACGGGATGCAAGATTGACCTGTGTATTGGACGCAGAAATTTGGTGAAGTACCCCCAAACTAATATCCTGTGAGTCCTTGTGGACTCAATATAATTTCTTTCTGGGAAAGAACTTTCTGAGTTTGTAATGACATTCCATATTAATATGTAAACATTTTATTTACAATCATTATTCTAATGACATTGAAAGTAACAAATATCATAACATAATCATTATCAAATGGGAAGCATCCATTATCATTGATTTCATGCAAATTGATTGACTCCCAATTTTGGAAATGGACTTAATGGAAATAAGCCCGGAGTCCCCAGGACTCCTAGTTTCAAAGAGCTATGTAAAACCCTGATCCCAATGTGTTGTGATGAATAATATCTCGTTAAAATTACCCACATGTTAAATTTTGTATATGGCTTTGCTGATGATTCCTTCAAAATAAAATGGAAGCTTTTCAAACATTGAGCATCGAGAATATATTTAGACTGAATACATTTTGAACACCCCTCATAGCTGTATTGATCGTGCAGCTGTCAGTGTACCCAGGTCCACACACTTGGTGGGTTGTAGACATGGTAAGAAATGTATCATGCTGTTTGTTTCCCAATATGATATGATATGCATATGCATATGTATGTATGAGATAAAATATATATGGAATATGCCATCATTATAATGTTGAGGAAATGTATACGAAATAGATTAGCAATTATAATATTTTGTAAATAATTAAAGATGATATTAAAGATTGATTTATCTATCAGCATAAATTTATGTTTTGTCTGAAGAATGTTTTAATTGTTTCAGGGTTTTAAATGAATTATCAGGAAATACAGGGCCATAATGCAAACATATTGAAACAGTTCTATTTTCATGTTACTTATTAGGAATTGCAGTAATAGTATGACTTAGATAGGTATCCATGATCAGTTCTTAGAAACTAAAGGGATTACTATGTGTCAGAACCCATATCATCTCTGGTGTGTTCTGGCAGTGACAGTGTGATAATGGCCTCCCAGATTGTAACACAGATTTCATTGCGGCGATGATGTAAAATGGGTAGTATTCTTACAATTATGAAGAATGGCAACTGTTGTTTTAATTTAAGTGAAAAGTGACAAACATACTTCATGAATGACCTTCACGATGATCTTGATCATAAATGTATCTCGCTGACAACCTTCTAAATTTATGCCCTTCATTTCTGGTGTCCCTTGCTGTGATATTGCTGGAACCAGAGACCATTGCTAAAAGCGGCATAAAACCCAACTCACTCACTCACTATGCCCTTCATGAAGGAAGGCACATATTAGTTTCTTTAAAATACAGCAAATCCTTTTCAAATTTTATCTGCTATTATAATCTTGACACCACATTTCTTCAAAGGTAAGGGAAAAACCTTTAGAATCAATGTAGTCTTGAAATGTACTCAATTTCTAAATGGTTCAATGTCTATAGAAACTACGAGGATAACATCAGAACATGTTTGTGTGTACAGGCTTCATTAACATGGCCACCTATTAAAATTGTTGTATAATGGAAGAATTGATTGAAACATTCTCATGGTCAACATCACAGGGGGATTGATGACAATGCCAGCCAAGTTACACCATGTCACAAACTGTATCATCAGCTTGACATGAAATAAATGGAGGCCTAGTCTGAATACACAATTTTGAGTTCCATATACATAAAACTGTACAGGTAATCTGTTTCAAAGGAATTTAGGAGAATGTTGTGTGAAGGTTATACATGAGAAATGTTTAATTATTGTTTTCTTTATGATCATGGCCAATTGGATGTGGTGCCATCTTTGCCAATCTGGTTCCATTGATGCTAAACATCTTCTTTTGTGAAGATTTCATGTTGTGACAGACTAATTGTGGATGATGCCATTTCCTAAATATATGTACCCAAGTACACACACATCTCAGTAGTCATAGAAGAACAAGAACAAACAAGTTGTAGGCTTTATTTAAGCATGTCAAGCAATCCTCACCTAAAGAACACAATCAAAATGTCATCTGATAAATCATTATTTTTTTACATAGGAGGACAAAGTCTTGAATACGATGATTAAAGAAAAACAATTTAACCAACACCTACAAAAGCAGATAAGCAAACAAAATATTAAGCAATAAACAAATTTCTAACCTACACATTACCAAATGAAGAAACTTCCAACAACCTTAATTATTGCATTAACTGGTACCATATAATAAAATCTTTGTTAAATGAAGCTTTTTTACTCAGAAACTTCAGTTCGGCACAAAAATTTTAGGCATGAATTGAGGAAATGAAATGAGGAAAATTCCTATGCTGCTTAACAGTCATACCATGAATAGAAAAGAGGTGTACAAGTACAAGCAAATGTAGTTCTAAGCTATGATTACATTTATTCAATAATCATATTCCAAATATGATTCTTTTCACATTAAATCATCTGTTGAGGAGAAAGGGTTAAACTGAGATGTCAAACTCATCTGCAAAATCAAATAAACTGATTAAAATAAAACTGAAATATTACATGAACACAAATAAGATTCATCAAAAAAATTCACAGGTCAAATGAAACCTGATCTTTTAAAACTAGAAATTGATGTTATATATATATACATCACCTATTTACAAACTTCCTGTTCCTTTACATTTCAACAGGTGCAGAACAGTTCATGAATAAGTCATGTTAACTACTGTAGTAGTTTGTGTTGTGTACCCTGCAATGTGATGAAGATCTTGATTTTTTAGTTTGCACAGTATCTGACCAATCCAGGATGCAAGAATGCATTTGTGATATGACATGTCACGATCATCTATGTACATATCATTGGGCCCGTTTTGGGCTGTTAAAGTGCTATCACACTGAATTAAAAATACTTTTTACAAAATCTTATATACATATCATACATGACATAAACAACTAAAAGACTACTCTCAAATGTTTCATTGGTTCATGTTTCTACTTACCAAACATAAACAACAATACATCTATATACTGTTTATTCACCATAATGATGAATAAGCTATTCAGAACAAAACATTTTGAATGCATAACAATAAATGAAGACAGAGGGCAGATGTTAACATCTGCCATACAAAATAAAATATTCAAACTGTCAGCTATGAAAAAACATACATGTAGCTGTGAATCAAACAAAAGCATTATTTAAAAAATGGCATGAATGACAATTTGTGTGTGAGAGAACTGAACACATACAATTAATGTTATCCGTTACCCTGAACTGTTCTTTATCAGGACAGATCACATCATTAATCATTTTGTGTATGTGCAGCCAACTATCCAAAATTATTGGCAATAATACACGAAACAAGAATGATTGGCACATAAATGATAATTTTACAATAACTATTGAAAATTCTCTATTCTGATTGGTCAGTCATAGGTTTCTTATCTCTCAGTCAGTGTTAGAATTTGAATTAATGCTATATACAAGAAAACATACATGGAAATAGCTTGGATTCGAAAGTCAATTTAGTGACTTCAGTCTCCAGGTAACATATAACATTGAAAATGCAAGATATGTTGTAACGACATGTACTATCAAGAATGGACACAAGATATAAGAAACTCAAACTTACTGCATATGTATACTGCCTTTAAATCTGATATTGTTCCGAATTGTATTTGATCGCACTCTCTTCAAGCTACATCTGCTAGAGAGTCTTAACAAAATTCAGATGTGGCTCCACCAATTTAAAAATAGTTTCAGCATAGAAGATCTAAAGACAATGACATTGTTGCTATGTGCGATTATTGTAAAATGTACCAGAAGATGAGTATCATGTGTTAATGAAATGTCCTTTATATGCAGCTAAAAACTCACTACATACCAAGTATCTATATTATGAACCCAAATAAACAAAAAATTTGTACATCTTCTAAATACTAAGAACCATAATATAATACTCCGCCTAGCAATTTTTGTAAAACAAAATCATGTCCATGCTTCTGTAAAAATTTAATCTCAGTTGTCATTTTGTACTATTGGCCTCATGGCCACATCTATGATATAAACCTGTCTGTCTGTCTGTGATATGTATCTCCAATCACATCACATGAATAACCCTTTATCCTCAACGTGACACAAGAAAATGCATTAAGATTGTAACTGTGTAACTGATAAATATTGTACTATGTACTAAACTGAACAATCAATGAATGATATGAATGAATGTTGTCTCAAATGATCAAGTATCATCCATTTCTATGTTTAAGATATATTTCAAAGCCAATCAAATCATTCTTTAAAATTAAACACTCATGATTTTCAAGCCAATCACCAGCTCTGTTGCAAAGACACTGTTCAGGTAAATGTTCTGCTAAAATGAATATTAAACAAACAGTTAATTTGCAAACATCCATCAACAATCCATGTAGAAATTGAAAACTGCATACAAAGGCAAAATATTGCAAATCAGATTGTTGCTGATCAAATCCTGATTACTGGTGCAGGTACAACATCAAACATCAATAACAACTAATTCTATGTATGATCCTTACAACAAGCATAATAACATTATCTGTATTAAAAATCCCTGCATGCTCATATAGAGAAATGTGCTGCAACATTTATCACTATGTAGCGGAAACACATCGTTACATAGGATTGATAGGGCATATCTCTGTTCACTAAGTGATTATCTGTACACCTTATTTATACCAGATAATTAGATCAAGTAAAGAATAAGAAATGTACGATCTGATACCAAAGTGTGTAAAACATGTTATAAATTAATACTGGTTAATCATGGCAAGGCAAAATGCTATAGCAAATAGGTGTTTTTACATCAAAGAATATATAAGATCTATAAGTCTGTTAACATAAAAATATGCATTCCAAAATATATGTTATTATGCAATGTGTAATAGAAAGCAGTTTATTAAATACAAAACAACAAGGACATATGTCCTTTCCATCAGCGAACTCAAAATCATTTGAATTTATCATAAACATATTAACAATAACAACTAACTCAAGAAAATATATGTCAGAATGATTAAATTGATACATAACATCATACATAAACTTCTTTCATCAAATAAAAAATATATATTAATGTCTTCAAAACAATTTGGTTTTAATCTACCACATAATGAAAAGAATAAAAATAATTCACAACACCTTCACTATATAAAGAAATGAAAAGAAAATATACGTCTGAGCAGTTATAAAATCAGCAAATTCAATTATGAAGATCACAAACTTATCAAAAATAGTTATGTCCAGAAGTATTTTAAGTCCATAATATCAAGTGTACACTTGACTAAACAACGCCTTCAAAAAACACAACTTCAACCCAAGCAGTTTGACAATGACAGATGCTGAGGCACTGTTGAAAGTCTAACAATGCTGGTTGACTTTCCAGAAGATTGGCACATTCATAAATATACACCATATAAGTTCATGTTTGACAATCCAATATTGACGTATGTTGAGGCACTATTGAAACTCCTTCCTGCGTTTTTCAAGTTCCCGGAGGACTGATAGCCAGGTGTCGGGGATGTGCTTCCCCCAGGATGACTGCTGGGAAGGAGAAGATATCTTCATCGGTCAGTGTTTCATCAGGTTCCTTACTGTACAGTGGAGCATCTCTGTCCCCTTGCAGGATGTCTCGCAGGCTGTGGAATGTGAAGTTACATAAATCAAAATAAAATGTTTGTTGCAAATATTTATCACACCTTTTTCCATCTTTAGTATTTGGTCAATTCCAATTTGAATCTCTATCCCCATGCAAGATGTTTTGTAGGCTGAGGACACTATATCGTACAAGAGTGATCGAAAGAACATGTGAGAGATCTATTTGTGATGAACAATGAATAATTCATGATAAATTAATTCATTATAGTATGGCATGTAATTTCTGTTTAGTCAATGCAGTTACCTTATTATACATGTTTATGCATACATTAATAATCTGGGCAAAGAGATGTCTGGATGTGCCATATGTGGATATATCCCAACCTTACAATGACATGTATATAGCATATGATTATCATCTAATTTCCATCACAATTTCACATTTTACACTGAATGGAATCAGTGTTCGTAGAGAGTCCAGGGTGATTATTCTTTGGCATTGGAGCTTTGAATTTCAAAGCTTTTCTATCTAATTCTATACTCTATATATTTATATATTTCAATAAAATAATTTGTACTGCACAAACAATGGTCAATATTGATATCCTTTTCAATTTCAACTACATGAAGAAGCCAGTTAAATTGGTTCAGTTTCCATTGAAGGGAAACTTTCATGTGCCTCACAATTATCAACCATATGCTCATTAAAAGCAAAACGTCATCAGCCTAACATAATCAGTCACAACATTCTGAAAAGACATCCAACCAACATATATTCAAACAAGACCTCATCCATCTTACATTCAAACAAGACATATCATTAACATTAAACACATTATCTGAAGGGACATGATCAGTTCAGCAGTGTAAGGCGCCACAATTTGCTATGCAGAATTCTGCCCTCTGAGTATGCCAGAAATGTGTAACTTTGAGTTGGAATCCTGGTCCTTCTTGATTATTATTGTTGGCACACTATCTGTGCTAAATGGTTTCGCTAAAGAGTTAAACATCTGAGGTTCAGGTTTTTTTATCCTGTTGACATGCTGGGATATTTGCTCTAAGTGGTATTGGAAAGAAACATTCACTCTCATTCATCAGAAGGCATCATCATGTTAACACATGAAGAAGGGCAATCAAGATAAACTTATCAAGCTAACACAATATGATGGAAGACACAAAAGACTAACACACATTAAGACAACACAACAGCCTAACATACATTCAAAAGACACATCAGCCTAACATACATTAAGAAGAAGACACACCAGGTCAATCTTTATTCAGAAGAAGACAAACAAGGATAATACACTTTCAGAAGAAGACACACCAGGCTAGCACAAATTCAGGACATGAAACATTCAACACCGCTCACCTAATGCTCTTCAGGTCTATGGCATCCTGATCATTTGGGTCAACTGGTTGAGCTACTCTCAGCAGAAAGCAGTCAAACATTTGCTGCAGAAGGTACTCCAGCTTTTCTAGGTTCTTGTTCTGACAAAACTGTTTAAGTTCAGCTCTGGCATCATCAGGGAGACCTTCTTTCAGTTCATTGTCAAAATCATCAAAGGCATCCTAAATGAGATATACATGACTATGAAAAAGCAGGCCCCAGTTCAAAGAAATAGTATTTCTGAACATACTGAAATCTCTGACAATTGTAATAAACAGAAATAGCCTAGTTTCAGCAATCATTCCCAGGTGACTTCAAAACAAATTCTAATTTACACTTTATTTATTTAAGAAAAACAAAAGCCTAGTCTGGGAGAGGTTTGCAAAGGTGACTATTTGTATAAAAAAAGAAGATGGTTTCTAACCTGTCCATGTTGAGCTAAGATAACGGATTTCTCAAAACTGAGCAGCAGCCACAATGACTGTATATGCTTGAATCTGCAAAACTGTCTTGCCTGAAATAAATGAGAAAATATTGACAAAGTCCGACTGACAGGGGCGAACCTCTTTATCTTCGAATGTTCATTCCAATGTTTTCTGAAGGTCAACAGAAAATATTTCTCCCACATGATGGATAACAATCTGATATTTGGTCCCTGGTCATAAAGAGCAGTCCCATAGCTAAATCTTTTTTAAGTTTATTCTAAAATATGAGAGCAATGAGTTACATAGAAGCATGTCTGCTTGTGAACTAGCAGTCTTGACTATCATCATATGTTGCAGACATGGGGCCACCTTTTGAATATTTATATATATGTAAGGTTAACTTAAAGTGATAAATAACTTCAAACACAAACCTTCTGGCTAGTTATTGTCTGTTTCATTTTGAGCACATCTGTCATGAAAGTCTGCAGTGGCTTGTCTGGTTCTCCTCCCAAAGACTTGAGGAAGCTGGTGGTGATGTCCAAGTTGTTGATAGAGTCACAGACATCTGGCAGGCTGGACTTTAGTTCAGACACAATTTGGAGCTTCACTGCTGGTGAGAGAGATTCCTGAAACAAGGTTGATGCATGTCCAGCTCATTAATGGAATATTCTGGCCCATGTCCAGAAAAGGTCAAGATTGTGTAGATCGTGGGCATTGGACTTTTATTAACAGGTTTATAAAACTGACATACAAAAATAAAACAATAGTTATCACTTTAAATAATTTTCAGAATACTTTCTCTATCACACCATTGCCATAAACCCTGTGTTTCTGACAGCAAACACTAAATTGTGTATGTATATACTTATCCTATTTCACGGTATGCACTTCTCTCTCTTGATTCGACACTGAGTGGAACAATGTCAACTTTTTCACCCTAGGCCTCTCTTGTCCATCCTCCCAATCACTCCATGCTACCCTCATTATAAGACAGCTTCCTAGGTGTCATGCAAAGCATGCAGCATCCTCCATTAGCTACCCACGTGACCACCTCTGAATAATTATTCTCATTCTTGGAGCCACTGGATAATCTACATAGCGGGGAGGTAACGCATGAGATGGGATAAGTATATACATGTATATATCAAATTTATAGCTAAATTTTTATAATGTTTAAACTTATCCTATATCACGGTATGCTCAATAAGAGTTCCGCCCGAAACCCCCGCTTGACATGTTTGCTATTTATTATCATTATTTCTAGGGGTTAGGATTTAGGATAAGGGTTTAGATTTAGCATTATGTCAGGTTTAGCGTAAGGTTTAGGGTTAGGGCAGGGTCTGCGTAGGCTTTCCATAAAATACATCTTTTCTTAGGTATAGAGTTATTTACTGGAATCCGGGAGTGACACACTTCACTGACGTAACTGCTTCAAAAAGTAGAGATCAGGAAATGTGAAATGTCTAACCCTTCCACATCGTGATACAGAATCGTGCTCAAGATTCATCCAACCACCGAGGCGGCGGTATCTCCGTGCCTTAGTATAAAACTAAGTGAAGTAGTTCTAACCTATAAGCAAGCAAAACATAAGGCAGACAATCAGTTCAGACTTATATTCAGGAAAATACTGGGAAGCAGCAACTGCATGTTACTGTCCCCTATCTGCGTTGTTGGGCTGAGGACAGCTGTTGTGCGAAAACAAGGGGTCCAAACTGGTACAGACCTTGGACGTCCTTGACTGAGAGGTCTCGAAGGTTGTGGAGGAAAAGACCGAGTCAGATCGCCAAAAGCACCCTTCCATAATGGCGTGGTGAGAACAGTTACTATGCAGAGCCATAGCCATCTGATTCTTCACTACAAAATCCCAGCGGACACTGAGGAAGACTTTGCCATGCTTCTTCTGTTTGAACTGGACTCTGTTAACATCCAAAGCATGGAGTTCAGAAATCTGAGCAGCTGCAGCCAAAGCCACAAGGAAGAAAGTTTTGAAGGAAATCTTCTCAAAATCCTTCTTATCTAGGGGTTCATAGAACGTCGAGGCCAAATGATGCAGCACCACAGATAAATCCCACGCAGGAGGTCTAAATTTCTTAGACTGATCAGCCAGCTTGAAGGACCGGAGCAAATACTGAAGCTCAGGAACCGTAGAGACCTTAGAGCCTGTGGTGGTAGCCAAGACCGAGTTGATTGCAGCAAGGTAAGTGTCCAAAGTGGTACCCTTAAGCTTCCTAGACAACCGCAAATGCTGAAGAAATTCAACGACGATTTGAGGTGACGAAGAAATTGGAGATGTCGGCCTGGATCAGCAGAGAAGAACGCTGAAGTTCCGTCGCCCGATGCCGACTGGCGAGAAGAACCGCCAAGAACTTGAGCTCATTGATGTGCAAGTCCCGTTCTGCGGATGACCACAGCCAGGCCTTCTGATGATGAAGAAAGTGAGCCCCCCAACCTTTGAGCAATGCATCGGCGAACAAGTGGTGCGTTAGAAGGAACGGCATCAAACAAACTCCGGCGCAAACGTTCTGTTCTACAAGCCACCACTGAAGAAGAGGACGTAAGGATTCGGGAAGACATCTCAACTCCTTGGGATTCTCTGATACGAGATACAGACGCATGAAGCGATGCAACAGGCATAGTTGCAATTGTCCCCGCCGTGTCAATGCCTGTGCCGATGTCAAGAGGCCCAAAAGTTGCTAATGGAACTAGATGTTGTATTTTCACCCATCTGTCTTGGGGGATGAAAATCAGGCCCTGATGCGTCGAAAGTTGCCCTGATGAACTGATGTGTCTGGGTCGGTGATAGTTCAAACTTTGCAACGTTTAACAGCCAACCCAGCTGCTTGAGAAGCTTCATGCTGAACTCCAACTGATGTAAAAGAATGACTGCCTGAATGCAGTCCTCTATGTAACTTTCGAACACGACCCCGTGGAGAGGTAAAAACCTGGTGATCGGCTTGGTGATCCTGGTATATAGCCATGGGGCCGGAGAAGAATGGGCACATGGAGATATGCATCCTGTAGGTCTAGGCTGACAAGAAAATCTCCTTTCTTCAGGATGGTGCGAAGGAGGAAGGTCGATACCATCCTGAAGTGAGGTGGATGCTGGAGATAGTGGGCATTGAAAATTTTCATTAGTCTTAGTTTTGTTGAGTTTTTCTTGGGAACCAGAAAGATGGGGGAATAGAACCCCGGAGTGTTGGGCGCCAGACCGAGAGACTGGATTACACACTTTTCTATGAGAGTACCTATGTTGAAACTGGATCTGGTCCGCTGGGTAACTGTGATGTACCGGATGCACTGTCAGAGGAGGGTGTCTGATGACTGGAAGCCTTTGGAGAGTAGGTTGGTCACAAAAGGATCGTCTGGGATGGTCCAATTGGGAGTGAACCTCCTAACCTCCCGCCCACTGGAGAGTCTGTACGATCTGAAATTGGTCCAGTATAAGGGATATACAGCCCCTAATGTAAGCATCTTGGTTGGAGAATGAGTGCTCTACTGATGCCGCAACTGCATCCACTGCCGAGATGATGCAGTTGATTGAGGGTAAGGCGTGACGAACAGCTGTGTCCATGTGAAACAGTTCTCTGTCCTCAACTAAAAAGGCTGAACAAGTCCTTTACCCGCAATGTGTTTAGACATCTTCATCCCACGAAGAGGCAGTAGACAACGACTGGAACCCATGGGAATGAGCCACCGCTAAAGAGTCTAGACAAAGGCAGATCGTCCCTAATCCTCTTAAGGCTTTTAAAGGCATGATCCAAGTATGTAGCTAAATGAGCAACACACGGTCGTGGTGGAAGTGTAATAAACGCCGTGTCCTGTTGTCTCAAGGAGAAGGAATGCGCTAAGTCCTCTGGGTTCCGTGACAAAGGGAGATGGAGTTTCTCCACTATCCATGCTAAGACTTGAGGTTCATCAACAAAATCCAGACTTCCCTCTGAGGAAGCAATATCCAAACGTGCCAGAGACAGAGGATCCGCTGGAAGACTAGGACTGGGCGCCGCAACAGATGTCTGGAGGGGGATGAACCGGGTGAAGACGCACAAATGGAGAGCAAGGAGGGGATGTATCATAACGGGAACTATGATCCCTGGATCTAGAACGATAGACAGCACTCGATCATGTAGGAGATCTAGGTTGACGGGTTGAGTGCGCAGAACTAGAAGTCCCATGATCATGAGAAGACGAAGCCCGATGAAGAGACTTTGAGGGGAGAACGGATCTAAATGAAGTAGCTGAAGGCGTGCGTTTAGTACGAATGCGAACGATTCGAAGAGTGGCGTCTCGGTGGTGAACTAGACCTAACAGGTCTTTCCGGTGAACAAATCCGAAGAATAATTGAAGATTGGTCCAAACAACTCGGTGAAGCTGTGTCCGTGCTGAGGTCATGTGACTGTAAGAGCCAACAGAGTTCGGGAAGTACTCAGAGACATATGATCCGGAGAAGGGCATTCTGCTGAATACTGATTCGAGGAATGCCGTTTCGGTGAAAGTCAATTCAACACATGATGTTTCAGTGAATCCTGATGCGAAGTATGCTGTTTCGGCGAACATTATTTCGACAAAGTCCATTTTGGTGAGACCTGTTTGGAAGACGACCGTTCTGGGTGAATGTTGAAGACTAGACTGCCATTTCGACGAAGGCCGGTTTGGAGAGAGCTGATTCATAGAGTGCCGGTCTGATGAAAACTGGTTCGACGAACTTGCAGGCTTTGGTGAAGTGGATGATCGAGGTATCGGGACACAGGAGACAACACTTCTATTCACCGAATGGGAAGTAGTTGGTGACACAACGACTTCCAACCGTTTTGGCGAGCTAGACCAATTCACTTCTGGACGAATGACGAGATCTTGAACGGCTACGGCGAATGTGATCTTGACAGTCAGGTGTAGAAACCAGCTGATTCTTGTCCGTCGAAACTGATAACCCAGGTTCCCTTGATAACTGATCCATGGAGCGAGACACAGGGAGCGTAGTTCGAAGGTCCCGCTGTAGTGAAGTAACCTGGAGGTAGGTAGCACGCTCGACAACCACAACACGGGATGTGGTCGAAGACGAGGGACTCGGGCTGGGATGTTGAGAGCCAAGGAGTTTCCAAAAGTCTTCAGATAAATAAGAGTAGGACGCTTAAACTTGACTTTCTTGTTGGGACTGGGTCCATCTAACGATGCTGCATAACATGCTCTATCAGCAACACGTGGAGCGCAAGCCCTGGTGTAGTCTCCAATGGTCTCAAAGGTAAGATTCTTGCATTTCTTGCAATGAGTTTCCCATTTGCATTGTCCCACACAATCGACACATAAAGAATGTGGATCACTCAAGTGCGACAAGAAGAAGAATGATGATTCAGAGGTGGTCACGTAGGTAGCTAGTGGAGCATGCTGCATGCTTCGCATGACAACTAGGAAGCTGTCATATAATGAGGGTAGCATGGAGTGTTTGGGCAGATGGACAAGAGAGGCCTAGGGAGAAAAAGTTGACATCGTTCCACTCAGTGTCGAATCAAGAGAGAGAAGTGCATACCGTGAGATAGGATAAGTTTTAAAATTTTCAGATTCTCACTGTCAGCTATACTTAAGTAGTTGCAGCAGCACTATCACCTTACAGCACTTTTTGGCATCTGATGGTTAGGTGTCCAAACCACTTCTGACAACATGAATTGATACATTGATGACATATCCGGAAAGGATATGGGATATCCAAGCTCCCTGGTACTGACTTGTCAGATGTATGATGTTCTTCATCATAATCTTGATATGATTCCATATGGCAGTAGGGAATCTCCGAATGGTAATCAAGTAGAAAGGGTGTGTCGAAACACACAACATAATCCTCATGGGTAGAATATGAGTTGCCATCGAATGGTGTCCAAGATTCATTAAGAATATTTGCATGAGGAAGTTGCGATGAAAAGTGGTTCCACAGATAGGATTGTATAGTAGTTGCCTGGGAACCCTAATGGTAAATGTTCTATGCGGTGTTTTCGTGACTGAATGGAAGGTATTGTAATGAACAGATAATTGTGTTGGGAACATATGCTGGCCTTGAGGGGCTTTAACTGCTGGTGAATGGTCTGTATGGTCCATACAGGAGCCAGTAAGTAGCCAAGCAGACACTAACATAAAGTGTCCACGCATTTGACATTTATTACAGGGAAGCAGACAATGCCATAGGAATAACATCAGACACCAGTCACCAGCAAATACGTAATGTGTCCCAAATACAGTCCCTAATAGAGCCAATAAGTTATGCAGACTAACTATTAACTATGTAAACAGAAACAATCTAGAAACAATGTGACTACATAACCAAGGAGTAGGGGGGAACAAATATGTAGGGTGGTGTTTAGTTTAGCACCCACAGCAAAGAAGTGAGGTTTCCCTGTCTTTGCACAGAGAAGATTATGTTAATACTAAGTTGATCTGGAAGAAATAAATATTTCAATACCAACATTCAATTTTGTGGCAAAGTGTTTGTAAATCAACATGTAAACACTTAACAAATTTTATTACATTCCTGAATGTTGTTCATATATAAATATCAGGATGAACTTCATGGACTTCACCCAAGCTAAAGTAAATTTTAGTTGCTGTTGCTGAAACTATGCATGGAATAATAATACTGGCATGTGAAAAATGAGAAAATTAATAACAATCATCTTATAAATGAAATAAAGTAATAATAAACAAAATATGAAATTCTAGTACTTACTGTTGTTTTAAATAAGCACTTTTCAAAATCCACACTGAACGTACTTTCAAGGTTTGTGAGAACCATGCTACATTGATATCACATTTAGCACAGATATGGCCTTGGTTAGAATATCACATACCTGTCAACTCTCATGCATATGACGTGAGTCTCACACATTTCCAACTAAAATCATGCTCTCACGCCATGCTCCCATTTTCTCATGCGGGTAGTTAAATTCAAACATTTTGATACTGAGATACTCAGAGATATCCTAGTTGTGCCTAATTTTTGGTAAAAAAAGTTTTCCAGATATTGAACTGAAAGAAAAAATAGGTGTTGGAAAAGTAATATTTTGATAAGCTAAGGACAGCATTCATGACCAAAAAATCTATGGCAGATCAAAACTAAATAAAAAAGTAAGTACCTGATCTATTCTGTCTCGCAGTATCTTGAAGACAACAGAATTGGTTGTGTCAGCTCTGTACACCATTGTGTCAATCTGAAATTCATATATTTTTATATGTGAAACTTCAAAAATGTTCACATCACTTTTAATAAAATGATTTCAATGCAATTTTTCACATTTTATAATCTAAATTTGTAACCATAACTCACTGGTATGACATGCGACTTCTGCTCCACTCTGGACTTGGCCTGTAGTATGACTTCTTTGAGCTGATACTCAAATCCTTCAAAGTCATACTCAATGGTGGTACCTTTCCCCAGCTCAAAGGAGTAGTTACAGTTGGCCAGAACAAGGGGCAGCAGGTCACGGTCAGGGTGGTAGCTGACCAGGTGGTTGCTGTGAAGTTTCCTCATGCTGACCTCAGGCAGGCGCTCATACCTGCAACATACAGGGTCATGTTTAGCCATTACAAGTATGGTCATTCCTTGCCATAACATGAGTCTTGGCGTCCATGGATCACTCCCTGCATTATATATAACATGGAATGAAGGCCAAGTAATATTGCATTTTTCTTGTGCATGGCATAAAGAGCTAGGATTAAGGGAATACAGTGATGAGACAAACGATGTGCAGTTTCATTGCAAAATATATATATAACTAGCTAACAATGTTTATAATTCAAAGAATACTACCTCTATTATATCATAGCCACTGCTATTCTTTTACATACTGCCATTATAATTGTTCTGCCATTGACTTTTGTACTGTGTAGTATCATTACTTTGTACTAAGTAATTTGTATTAAGGCTTATTATTCAGTTAATTGTATAACAATTCTTTGTTTCATGTCACATAACAAAGAAAAGACGGAAAAAAATTCAGTATGTAATAAGTACTCATAGGAAAGAAGTGATGATTCCCATTGTGTACAAAGGTTATTGCACTGCACACAGATCACTTTACAACTAGATGTTGGCCAAATTACTAGTACATAAATTGTGACTTCAAAGTCACTAAGGTATGGTATTCAAAGAAATTATAATGTTTTTATAACTCTATTTCAGTGTTTCTTGGAAACTCACTTTTGTTTTGTCTTGTTACAGTAACTCTCCATGAATTCATTATGCTTCCTGAACAGGAACTCCAGCATCATGTAGGAGCAGATGCCAGGCCCCTGAGTGGACGGCAGAAGAACGGCCAGGGGAGAGTTCTCATCAATCCTCATGTTCTTGTAGGCATCAGGCAGGTGTATCAGACCATCATGGACCGTCCAGCATCCTGAAATTAAGGCACACCTCTATCATATTTAGTGTGTAGCTTGAAATATTTTACATAAATATATAACCTAAAAAGTGGTTACAGAAGTGTTGTCAACGGATCTGCATAAATTGTATTATCTGTCATCGTGTTCACATGTAAGACATTTACACATCTACATCTTTTGACAGTGTCACAGAAGGAAATCTTACCGTAACTGTGAAGTCCTTCCTTGACACATTCCCAGGCTGCTATGAAATCTGAGAGATTTTCCAACACATCAATAGAGTTGTTTCCTGGAAGACAAAGTGGATAAGTTGATTTGACACTCACCTACTGTGTGATCCTTAATAAAATATCAATGCATGGTTATCATTTCTCTTGTTTATAAGGATAATAATGATATGAATACCGTCTTCAGCAGCATCAGCAATGGTCATATTTTTTGCCTCCACTCTATCAAGGGGCCGCCTGTATTTTGCCATAAGGAACTGTTGCAGCCGTAGAATATTTGGGATGCGATGTAGTGCTTGTAGGAACGGATGCTGAAACACAGAATATGTACAAAAGATTTTGGATTGGGAGGCCAGTGTGAGATACGTTAAATATTCAAGTCATATTACCAGGGATTTACAGGAAGCAAATTCCTGTGTCCCATACGCATAAAAATTGACAATGGACGCAACAGAATTTATTAGCGCATCCACAGGGACGCAGAAAATGTCTAAATACTTTTGTAAAAATTCCAATCAAATCACAATTAGTTATCACTGAGTTTGCTACTAGCTGAGTTTGCAATTTCATTATTGTAACAATTAAACTGTTGATCATGACACACAATACAATAACAGTATTAGTAATAATAGATACAGTGTCTGTGAGCCCAATTTTGTTGTCCAGGACCCCTGAAAATTATAAGCATGAGTCCCAGGGACCCTCAAATACAGGACTCAAGGTAAATCCCTGTATTACAGTATGGCAGCATAACGTAGGAGGAAAGATTAAAGTGTAGCAGATCATATACATTCATAGACAATATTTTTGAACAAACTATGTGCACTGGTATGTTAATTACAGACCAAGGACCATAACTTGTGTAAATCTAAGATTCCAACCATCCATTAGAAGGATATCTGAACACAATGCAGGTCGCATTTCTGCTATCAATTTCTTTTTCACTCCTAGTAACATACCTGTTGTCTGAAAAGGCTGAGAACTTCCATCTTGGATTTCTTGCCCTTGATGTTCTCTACTTTCAGATGAAACTCTCTCAGGAAATGCTCCAGTGTGATACGTGACCGGTACCTCCAGACAGCTGGGAACTCGTGGAGACATTCAACTTCCTTGGGTGTGGATGTGTCTACCTCATACAGAATAGACATCAACTTGTCCTGACCTATGAAAGATATACAAACAGGTTAAAAAAACAACAATAATAATTCCATCAATAATTCATCAGGTATTAAATACTTCTACCTATTGCTCATATACCTATTGCTATTACATAATTAACCTCTATTTCATACAAAGAAAAGTTAGTGTAAATACAACATATTCAAATGTTTCAGCATATCATGCTTGATTCTAGCGCATAGCCCAGAAGGACATATGTATCCTTGATTTCTCTGGAAATGTTTTGGAAGTGAAAAGCCTTTTTCTGGAAGTGTGAACATTCAGTGTTTCAGAAAACATTCCAAGGCTTTCACAAAGAGCAAGTGTCACTCTGTTCAAAGAGACTGACAAAAACATGATTGGAGATAAAGGTCTTAATGGATTGTTTTCAAGCACAAAGTCTTATCACATCTGGGAACCTTATATCAAGCATATCTTCTTTACTGCCATTGAATATTTACTTCCTTGCTCATACTACTTTTGTCACAGATGAAAGTCATGCCACAAAAAAATATGAAAATTGATAAAAATAATCCGGACATATGAGAACTACTTCAAGGTGAACTATTTCTGATGCATGTGAACAGGATTTTATACGCAATGACAAAACAAAAAAAGTATCTGAAACTATTATTTTATCCATTTTGTATTCTTACATGATTTTAACCTTAATCAGGGTTATGCACGTAGCATTTTGGTGTTTTATCAAATTCATCAATGGAACAATTGACATGTAACTATTGGGGTTTCTTGCACACTAGCTATTACCCCCAATCAGTATGCTGACATTTAACAGTCACACCTATGATGACTTTTATGACTTATAAATTAAAAGTCAAAATATGTCAGTCATGACACATACATCCAGTTGACTGTCAACTAAGGTTTGCTTCAAGGCATCAGTAGTAGCAATATTAAAGTGGTTGCAGTGAATCATGTAAAGGTATGTGGTAAGCGAAACCTGTGGAACTGGGTAAACAGAAGTTTTAAGTATTGTCAGACACAATATTGATATAAATATTATTGAATGAAATACTACACACTATATAATGTACTATAATAAATATTACAGTTTATAAATATAAGACGAGATAGGTAATGTACACTTTCCATTACCAGATAGTGTAACAACAGGATTAATTTGTATAATTCAATACAGATTTATTGATATTCTATTTCCAATGACTATTCATGGCAAGAAATAGGCAAGTTGGTGGTCTGGCTTATGTACCAGACATACTATTTATTTTTACATAAATTTCAAGGATCAAATGAAGATCTGGTCTTGAACATGAGACAGTCATATTTGGTACAAAAATGATTTTGTGCAATCCATCATTTTACCACAAACAGACTGATGGCTTCCATAAAACTGATAGACATAATTCATTGAACATGAGACAGTACCTATTCTCTTGTCTTTCATGATTCTCTCATTGCATGTATTCAGGCAGTTGTCAAGATCCTGTGAAGAAAATGAATACACACATTTAGATTTAATTTTCTTGCAGCTGTGTGTCACCAACAACCCAAGGTATATAAATGAGGTTTGTGAGAGCACAACTGGGTAATGCGACTTGAACTGTAACACCTGGTACCTGTAACACTGGGCCAATGAAAGATTTTGCAAACTGTTCCTCCCAGGTTTCTCTGATCTGCTTGTTGTCCAGTGCTTGTGGCTCCATTCGTCTGTATGCGTCTGTGATTCAAACAGACAGATATTTTTATTGAAACCTGTTGATATTTGTTAAACATGTAATTTTTAGAGTAAAATTGATATTTTATACTTATCCTGACTCATGCTCTTTTTGCTTGTCTTCTTCTTCTTGCGAACATAGTGGAACACTTGTATCTCCCTAATTGAAGCTCCCTTCAATGTAAAATCACTAATTAGTACACCACGAGTTACCTCCCTTCCACAAGCTCGGGAACGAGGGCGCCACCTCTACCCATGTGCCTCACTCTCTCCTCATATACTGAGCCCAACATTTGAATTTACAGGGAAATCCAAAGTGTTATGTGGGGAGGATGGGAGGGCTTACCTCATGAGTCAGGATAAGTATAAAATATCAATTTTACTCTAAAAATTACATATTTTTCCTTATCCTGACTCATGCTCTTTTGCTTGTAGAATCCTAACGTGAAAAGGAGGTGGGAATATATAATACTTTGGATTTTAATAATTAGTGATTTGAACTGTGATGATTGTAATAACCCTATGGGAACTTCATAAAGGCACTGAACTGATGAATTCCTGCTGCTAACTTATCAGCTGCCATATAAAGGTTATTACAATGTACTTATTACAATGTACTTATTATGATAAAGTATATATAACATTAATACAATGCTTAAGACTAATAGACTTAAGCTTGTTAAATTGCTAGTATAAACTCCTTAGAGTTTGTTAGCTAAATTACTTTAAGATATAAACATAGTACTAAGCTTAAGATATGCTTAAACTTAAGCTAATTATATAATAGCAAAATTCTTTAGAGTTTGTTAGCTAATATACTTATATGATATGAGCTTAAGATATGAATAAGCTTTAGCTACATATATAATAGCAAACTCTGTAGAGTTTGTTAGCTAATATATTTTACAATATGAGTATAGTACTGTGCTTAAGATATAATTAACTTAAGCTACATATACAATAGCCAAAACCTCTGTAGAGTTTATTAGCTAATAGACTTATATTGTTACCATAGTATTAAGCTTAAGATATGATTAGACTTAAGCTAAATGTATATAGCAAAAAACTCCTTAGAGTTTTTTAACTAATATACTTTTTATGTTAAAAAACATAGTACTGAGCTTAAGATATGATTAAACTTAAGCTATATATATAAAAGCAAAACTCCGTAGAGTTTGTTAGCTAATACATTTTATAATGTAACCATACTGCTTAAGATATGATGAACTTAAGCTAAATATATAATAGCAAAAACTTTTTTAGAGTTTTGTTAGCTAATATACTTATATGATATAAATATAGTATTGAGCTTAAGATATGAAGGAAACCTTAAGCTACATATATAATAGCAAAACTCTCAGTGAGAGTTTGTTAGCTAATACATGTTATAATGTAACCATAAAGCTTAAAATATGATGAAACTTAAGCCAAATATATAATAGCAAAACTCTTTTAGAGTTTGATAGCTAATATACCTATATGATATAAACATAGTACTACTGCTTTAAGATATGAATAAGCTTAAGTTACATATATAATAGCAAAACTCCATAGAGTTTGTTAGCTAATACATGTATAATGTAACCATAATGCTTAAGATATGATGAAACTTAAGCCAATTAGCAAAACCTCTTTAGAGTTTGTTAGCTAATATACTTATATGATATAAACATAGTACTGAGCTTAAGATATGAATAAGCTTAAGCTACCTATATAATAGCAAAAACCTCCGTGAGAGTTTGTAAGCTAATATAATTTTACAATATGTGTATAGTACTATGCTTAAGATATAATTAACTTAAGCTTACATATATAATAGCCAAAACTCTGTAGAGTTTATTAGCTAATGCATTTATAATGCAACCATAGTACTACGCTTAAGATATGATTAACTTAAGGTAAATATATAATAACAAACTCTGTAGAGTTGTTAACTTATATTGTATGATGTAATAATCATAGTACTGTGATGATAAAAAAGAACTTAAGCAAATTATATATAGCATGTAGCTATTTAGTACTGTTATAAGATAAGTAGAAATCTGTAAGATTGACTTATCTTCTCCGAGGAACTGTCAACTGTTGTCTGAGGACCCTGGAACCGGAATTGGTGGATACCTGAGACGCCCTTGACGGTGATATCTCTCAGATAATGGTTGGCAACCACCATATCGGATCTCCAGAAATAACCCCTCCATAATTTCAAATAACATTTGTGTAGATCAATTATAGAAGTTAGCGCTCTAATATCATGAGTATTAGAAGCTCATGGAGGGTCGGATCGGGTCCATCAGTCTTGTAGGCACATAGTATGACAGTTCTGATCCAAGGAGATGGTAGTACATGAGACTTCAGTCTGCGTAACTTGAATATAGAGGAAATAATCTGATGCATTTTCCCTCCTGTTTGGTTCGGTGGAGATAAATTTACAGTGCTCTTGCTGGCCATCGTGATAGAATCATCGTATCATGAAGTCCAAGTATGTCATCCAGGCGGTTCATAAACCTCACTTGTGAGGTGTTGGAGCACTATATACAGATCCCGGGTTGGAGCTTGAAACTTCCGCTTTAATCCTCCAATCAGAAAGCTTAAGTAGGTTTACTAACCATCTAGTTGTGTTAGTAGTTTGATGATGAAATTCAGTTGTAGACTGAGACGCTGTGGATTTAGATCCACTTGTATTCCGTCGTCTAGGTAAATCCGCTCATGAAGTCCTTTGACGATGTAGGTGCACAACCAGGTGTGTCTGTCCTCGCTTGAACTTTATGTAAAATCGCCTGACTGCCGCGGCCCTCGTCCTAACTTGACAGGGAGGTCTCTAACCTGAAGAAAGCAGCCCAATCATGAAGGTTCAGATTAACTGGACTGTAAGGAGGCTTGCTCGCTCACTGATATATAGTTGTCACTTGTAACGTGAGTCTTGAACTGTGAACTAAGACCGACCTCTCGTGGAGGTCGCTGTCCATCGCGGTCCAATCAGAACAAGGCATTTTGATTCTGTAGAATACCCGCTGTGATGTCACCGGTGTAGCAGGAAAAACCTTGTATAAAATCTTGCCGTCGTTTATATTAGCATAATCACGGGTCTTCACCGTAACTTTCGGTTACCCGAGTGACCACGTGTTTCGAGGGTTAATGGTAAACGCCACGAAACCTCCGGCGCGAAATACCGCGCTCTGTAATATTAATGCTGGGTAGGTTATTTTCCTGGCTGTCGTGAAAGTAACTTCAGTTTTGAATATAATTCCGACTTCCTTATATAAAGGTACAATAAACTTGCAAGTTGTCAGCTTGTAGACTGTATACATGAATGTATCGTCATAATTGTAGAATTAAAGCTGAACTTGTTGTACATATTACTTCTCAGAAACGTTGACGATTATGAGTTATACTCGCTGTAACAGGTTGCTGTTCAATTTCGATATTGAATTGTCTGCAGATCTGCGTAATGGTCACGCATGTAGATAATCGTATCGTAGTGTGGGATAGTATATTCTAGCAATCTATACGGAAAGTTGATTTCTGTGAATATCTATGAAACGTCGTTGACTAATTAATATAGCGACGTTCTGTGTTGTAAATGGCCTGTGCAATTGTCTTCGCGTAGGCTTATAGACGGCATATGGCATACAGTTGATAGACTGACTGACTGACTGAGTTTAGTTTTACGCCGCTTTCAGCAATACTCCAGCAACATCACGGCGGGGGACACCAGAAACGGGCCCAACACATTGCGCCCATGTGGGGAACCGAACCCGGGCCTTCGGCGTGACGAGTCAACGCTCCAACCACTAGGCCACCCCACCACCCCAGTTGATAGACACTTTATGCGATGTCTTGAACGGACTGACGAGTAGCTATATATGACGAGTGGCTAGTATATGGAGACCTTGGAGGATACTTCCTCGGTGAACGACGGAGACTTCACGAAGCTCTCGAAGTATCCCTTCTAGATCTTCTGGGTGAAGCAGACTTGGAGCCACTTAGCCTTCGCGACCTTCGCGAAGGTATCGAGTCAGAGCCCGATCAGTATATATATATGTAATTTTTAGAGTAAAAATTGATATTTTATACTTATCCTGACTCATGCTTGCTTCGTGAACGACCTCTGTGTTCAACAGGATGTGGGGTCGTCGAAGCGCTACTCCTCCGTGACGTCCCTTGTAACTGGTGAGGCTCTAGTTCCTTCGCGGAGGCGGCCTGGGACTTCCTTATCGAAGTGTCTAGAGTCCGATCAATATATGAGCGTTAGCTTCATACAGGGTGTGGTTCTTGCTGGTTCTGCATAAGTAGAGCCGAGTAGATCATGCTATCATCTTCAGAAGTCGTGTCACGCGAAATCTGGTGATAAGAATCTCATTGATCGCTCTAGATCTATTAAGGCCAAAGAACATACGCCTCTGGCGCTTGAACTTACATGCCTTTATGGTAGGCTGTGTCCACATTCTGTGGCACCGCAGCAATCGGGTCGATCGGAGGTAGGGTGACGACGTCTACATCGTCTTCCTTCATCAGGTATGTCTGCGCTGAGTTGCCACTCTTGGACGGTGAAGATAAATCTAGGTTGTTTACCATCCAATATCTTATCTCAGCGTCTGAGAAGATGATGTCTCCATCATCTTCTGTACCAGCATCGGTGATGAGAGGTTGATGCTCTTCTGATGGTGACCTGTGTGCTGCTATCTCTATGTCGGGTGACGCTGCCGACTTGTGTGGTGACCTGCGCGAGGTGATCGACGTGGTGATGTACGTGGAGATCGTCGTGGTGAACGGCGTGGAGATCGTCTAGGTGATCTGCGTCTATGGGATGACCTTGAGTCCGCATCTGAGGATGAGGCCGAGGACGGTGACGATCTCTCCCGTCTTCGCGAAGACTGTACATCTGAGTCCTTCGTCGAGGTGGTCTGTGACTTCCTTCTCGAAGGCTGCTTCGTCGTGGCTGCTACGCTGACTGGGGGTGCCTCTGGGGTGTTGTCTGCGTTGCTCAGGCCCTGGGCTGGCTGCTTCCCTCGACTGTAGTGGCCCTCCATCATGGTCATGATCTGCCGCAACAGCTCGTCTGGGATGGTCTGCGACGAAGTGGTCGGTGCCCTCTCTGCGATGACAGCTGCTGAGCCCTCAGGGAAGTCGTCTGACATCAGTGTAGAGACATCAGGCTGCATGGCGATCTCTGCTGATGTCACTGGTCGCTTCTTGTGGCGTACGCCGGGGATGATGATCGGTTGATCATCGTAGAGGCCCAGTTCAGCGGCTGGAACAATCTCGGTTGAGAAAGTCCTAGTAGACTTCGTTGATTTCCCCTCAGAGGTCGTGTTGGTAGCGACGGGACCCTCAGGAAGATCATCGAATATCAGCCTGCATGTTGATCTGCGCTGACATCACTGTTGCCGACATCGGTCATTCTTTTGATGTACATCAGGTATGATGATCGGCTGATCATCATACAGGCCCAAATCTGCGACGGGAACAATCTCGGCTGAGAAAGTTCTAGTAGACTTCGTTGATTTCCCCTCAGAGGTCGACGCTGCCCTGGGGGTGTGAAGTCTGCGTTGAGATGCAGTAGAAGCCCTCTAGTCTTCGGCTGCGACGATGGGATGTCTGGGGAAGCAGGACGCTTCTAGGAGGCGGCGGACTACGTCCCACTCCTCTCCACCACTCTAGCGGAATACCAGACGGGAGGGGGGTCGACCAACAGCAGTAGACTGGCGAGGGTTCAGGTGTATCAGTCATGGCTAGACTCTGCATACGTGACCTATCTGCTGCGCCGTCCTCAAACATAAAGTATTTATTTATTAAAGGCAGAATTGGATAAATTAGTACCGCAAACTGCCACGCGAATAAAATGAACATGGCGCAGGTACAGCTAGGGCATATTAAATGCGGATCAGCAGCAGAATAAAAAACGTAATCTGCAACAGTAAAGAATTTTCATCAACGTAATCCACAGAACAAACATGGCGTCCCGTGAATAAACAGTAGAAACACGACTAAATATCAATATATAATTGTTGAAGGATACTAGCTAAACCTCTATAGATGTCTATACGAGGTAACTAACTAAATATAATCCAAGGATATAGTGTGTCGGGAGACACAGGCGCTCTCACGTCCAGCTCACTGGGCGAAGAAGGAGAGAGTGAGGCACATGGGTAGAGGTGGCGCCCTCGTTCCCGCGCTTGTGGAAGGGAGGTAACTCGTGGTGTACTAATTAGTGATTTTACATTGAAGGGAGCTTCAATTAGGGAGATACAAGTGTTCCACTATGTTCGCAAGAAGAAGAAGACAAGCAAAAAGAGCATGAGTCAGGATAAGGAAAAATATATACTTATGGATATTCAACTCTAACTGAATAAAATACTAACACAGTGGGAAGAATTGTCAAAGATGAAAATATGGAATGTTAATAAGCATTAATTACAAACTTTGGAAGACATAACATAAGTACAAAACTGCTTCATAACGGTAGTGGTCTTGCTGAAAGCTCACCTGATTGAGAAATCTGATGGCAGATGAAGTGTAGGAGGAGGAAGACATCATCTACACTCTTTCCTGTGGCCATGTGGATAATCTGAAGGTCCTTCTGGAGGTGTTCCAAGAAAAACTGTCTGACATCCTGCTGTAGCGGGGGATAGACTAGAGCTGCTGTGGCCTGCAATGGATCAAGGTAAATGCATCTGTCAGTTGCACTTTCACAGGTTCAACACACTTTTAGCATTTCTACCTGTAACATGTTACATATGTGACACATTTTAATATGAAGGTGAAACTTACAAATGAAATATATGCAACAGGCAATGTTTGGAACAAATTTGGTGTCCAAATGCTTGAAATATATTGAAATCGGTGGTGTACATGGTAATCAACCAACAACTTGCCGGTTGGCTGGTCTCTGCTCCCAGAAGTAATGCAGCATGAGTGAAGAAACGCAGTACAGCACAGGCAGCTCCTCCCAGTCTGCGTTCACCTGCATAGGCATTGGTTCTGTCTGCTGCTCTTCCAAGAACATGACCAGGACGGGTCTGGTCACTATAATAAAGAAATAACTACTGGCAACCAACTAACTTGCATGTATCCTCATGGCAAGATTTCCAGGTTTCCTATGAGCAGACATGGATACAAATCATTCACAAAGATTTCTCACTACCCCATAATGTTCATGTCAGTCTTCACAAACCCACACAACATCAGAGCCATATTTGTGACCATAAATACTTACCCAGTAACCTGTGTATTTCCAGCTGCTGCTTGGTGAGATTGTCCACCAATCTTGGTTTTACAGATGTTGCAGGTTGCTTCAGTATAAGGTCTACCACACTGCAAAATGTCATAAGATAACACAGTAATGAACAGGATTTATAACACATAGATCTTTAAGAAATAGCAATATTGATGTCTTTTTCTAAAACTGTGTGTACATACAGTCATGCATATGACCTTTCAGTCCAAAGTATGAGGTTTTCAAGAAGGTCCTTAGATATGTGGAACACTAAACTTGAAGGCTTCAACTGTCATTTAAAGTTGGGTTATTAGCATAGTCTCTCAAACAAAATTTAAATCCAGGATCTTTTAGTCTCAGGACATAATTTAGCAGTCTAAATATCACATTTTCCAGGACTATGACTTTTCATAACCAAGACAAAAAAAATAAAATCTGCAAAGACTTTGAAAACCTTCCATAACAAGTATAAGTTACTTTGTACATAATGCAAGGATTTTCAAGCTACATGTACTTTGCTGCGTCTCAAGGCTCTCCAAGTCTGACGCTTAAAATCCAAGCCTTTCATGAGGGAGCTTGATATCAATGTCTCATATGTATAATATTTGATGAAATTTAGAACTTTAACAAATCTGCAACTTTAAAGCGATCTTCACACGGCAAACTAAAGTTTGACAGCACATGTTGTTGAAATTTTAAAAGTTCTCAAACTCGCATTTTCACAGGGCAAACACATCTTGTCAAACTTTGTGAAGGCCGCTTTAAACATCAATAGTTGGGATAATCTTACATTTACATGTGATCAATGTTTGGAATGATGGCATGTAACATTAATGTTTAATTGATCCTGCAGTTTCATGAGTTATGATAATTCTCTAATTATCCTTGACCATATGTATTTGTAAATGGTGCCTACCTCTCCAATAGCATATGGGTGTCCATTTTGACATTCTGGAAAGAAATCAAAACAAAGTGGCTACATTACAAACTCTTCCATACTAAACTTGGACAATTTGGGACTTATTATGTAACATTCTAACATACTACCTATATTACCTCATTGCCATAATTACTGTAATTTGGCTAACATCACACCATCCAAACCAGTTCTTAGGTAAACTGTACTTTCTGAAAAGCCTTTGTGCTAGATTGTAAACATCACTTCTTTCCAATCACTACATCCACTTAATGCAGACAGAGTGCCATAAGTGGTGACATAATAGAGCTAGTATTCTTTGAATTATACTTAACTATTGTTCGCTAATTCCTTTGAATACAAAATGTCTGTTACATCAGTCAGAATACTCCAGAGTGTTTGGTGGGGTCTAACATTTAGTAATCTAGGACAGCTTGTTTGTGTATGAAATTCTCCCTTCTCTAGTAATATCTCAATAGTCAAGTGGTCATCTGCCAAAGGAGTTCCCGCCAAATCAACAATCTCCATGTCTGCAACTGGTGGTATAGGTGCAACTTGTATCCTGTTCAAACAACCTTATTGTTAGCTTGGAGTTGTCCCTATTAAATTCTGGGGCTGCTCTGAAGTTGAAATCTTGTACATGATGATAATATTAATAATGCCAGAAGACAAAGCCAAATGGACAACCCTGTCCCTTTCATTACCTAGTCCTTCTGCCATGCATGCTTTCTGGAGGAGGACTAGGTAGATGCCTTCTCTAAAGATTTTGTGTACCAAGATCAAAGATGATGTATCACTTCTAATGATGGTTAGAATGATGAAGTACATGACTAAAGACATAGATGTAATCTGTAAATCCTGATGTGGTAGTGCAGCAGTTTGCTTGATAGAGAATACATCAAGTACACATATGTGGGTCCCCGACTGTTATGGTAGTTCTGTGACCCTGGAGGGCTAGATATGGGTTCCATGCTCTAAAATGTGTTACCAGATCTTACATCTGTATATCCAGATCAGAATAAACATATTTTCTATTTGTCTTTTGAAAGTTAGAAATAAATTTAGTGTTTTAAACAAATTAAACATATGAGAGTGTAGATTGATAAAAATCAGGTGTTGCAGCTTGCACACCCATGAAAGAAGTGACATTTCCCACACAAATGCTTCTGCACAAAGTACAGGTACCTACCTCGGATAGCTGACAGGATAAAGTGGTCATCTGATGAAAATGTTTTGGATTTTTTTCATGTGATTTTAGCAGGGTATAAATAGCTATGATATCATACTGGAAGGATAGTTAAAGAGATTATTGTATTTTGATAAAGAAATAGGAGATTGGATGTAATGCAACAGTATATAATTTAACATTATGTATGGTAATATAAATGTAACCTTTGTTTACAAATTAACCTTTGCATAAGATGAAAGCAAATGATTTTAACTTCTGTTACAGAAAGTTATAACGTGTAATAAACAGTTCTTCTCCAACAACTAACAAACAAGGATGAATCAAAGTATACTTACGGTAGAACACAATGGTTCCTTCTCTTGTCAGACTTTGTCTGATGGCATCTATGTCATCCTGTGGCATTGTGGGAAGGAACATGTTCTGTGGGAAAGTGAACAATCACTGCTACACAGGTCTTTATGATAATGAGCAATACATCAATGGTGTTAACCGTTCTATGGCATACCAATAAATATATGGAAATAAATCAAACTGTACTACAAGTAGGGGAAATATATATGGAATAAATATCAGTATTTCCTTTATACCAATCACTAAGTCAACTTGACAAAGTAAAAGGGCTTCACTCTTACCCTCATTTTGTGTGGTGCCAGAATGAGGTCTGTGAGAGGTTTGATGAAGTTTGTCACCTTGTTGAAGTGAGTTAGAGTGACATATGCATGGACTAGAAGACACATCACACTCTGGTCTCTCATGTTGTGACCTCGTCGAACAGTCAAACAGGATCCTGGACCACCAAGCTGATTTCTCAGCAACCTCATGGCTATGTCCTATCACCATACAAAATAAATAAATAATCTCATTAGTGTTTATCATTATTTCATATTTCAAATTTAACATTTATAAACTTTAGAGGTATAACATCATATATATTAAAGGTATAACATATACCACAAGTGATGTCAACCTATCAATGATGAAAAATAACTTTTATATCAAATTATTGATAATGACACAGCATTGCTTACCTTTTGAGTAACCTTTTCTTTTGTTGTTTCAATAAATGTTGTAATGCCTTCCACAGATTGTTCCTGCATAATTAATGTTTAACATTGATACGGCAGCAAACACCTAGTAGTCCCATTAATGGTGACTGTTTCAAAATTACAAATTTAAGGTGTTGTTGTGTATGTTGAGAACCAGCATTTACACAAACATTAGGTATCACTGGGCAACTGAGTGGTGAACAGTTGGACATTACTGTCATTAGTATTTCCTTTTTCAATGTTGTAATATTAACAAAAATAAAGTCATTATGCATGTCCTTTACATAGATCAAACTGAAATTGATTGAAGTGCACTATATTTATGTAACAAACACGTATCAATATCATGTACATCTGCTTGTGTGACTAGATTACATGAAAACTATAAATGTTAGGCCAGACCAATTTTACCTCTTGTTTTACAGATTTTTGTCCACAGAAAACCTAAAGGCAGGAGGGCAAAAAAATAAAAATAATAATAAATAAGTACTAAAAGTATTTTACTTTTGGCTATTTATGAAGTGTATATGGGGCAAAACACAATCTAAAAAAACTTTTCTTGTAAATTTACAGTTTTGACCAATAAAACATTAGGATTTTATTTTTTGAGTGGGGAAAATTAACTTTTATTTTTTTTCTCATTCTTGAAAAAAATACGACCGGCGGATCCATAAAACAGGAAATAAAATGGTCTGGCCTGAAGATAAAAAATACGTGTGAACCAAGTCTGGTGAAAAATTATTGTACTTTTCTTGAGAGCTGCTTCAGAAACAAACACTACCATCATGTTTAGTCTAAATTTACTCAGATGGAAACTTGTGAAATAACTTTTTTTTAAAAATCCCAAACGATGACAGACAGATGTCCACACAGATTCCATTTTCACATGCCCAGCACTTGTCGTGGGGGATAGGGGGTAACAATGGTTGACATCAGGCTCATCATGGCAAAGGTGAATTAAGTTGAGTAAAATAACATCTGTTACAGAAACTGAAAATACTAATCAAAATTTCTGATAACTTATGCCTAATTATGTCCTCACAAAGATGTTAGAAATGTTAACATTAATATTTTCGGTCAGTTTTGGTTACAGTTAAGAGAAAAACATCACCAGCCTGTGTTATATCCTACCTGTGTTTGAGGGTTGATGTTCCTCATGGTCACCTCCCTGTGTATGGCCAGGAGGAACAACATCTCGTTGTCCTGTAATGTCAGTCATACATTGCTAATTATATGCATCTATCCTGAAGTAATCATGTGTACTTATCTTTCCTGGAGGAAGAGAGACATCATAGTCAAAGCCACACATGTAAAATGTAATTTGATTGTAAATGCACAGTAGCAATACATATGTTACTGAAAATTAAGAATCTTTCAGTAATTTGAAGTACAGATCTATGCAGCACTGTTGTGGCAAATAAGTAAGTCATAAGTTGGCTTTTTTTGCATACACATTTAAAGCCAGTCACCACTAAAACATTCAATGCTCCAGAACATCTCAAATTAGTCAGCACTAAACATTTCAAATTTGAATAGAATGAACAAAAATAATAATAAGCAAAAGTCCATTTCTATGGTGTTGATATCCTTCACTATGTGGATGAAACACTTTAAAAGATATGGTTTGAGGTTGGCCTTGAATACAGAATGAGATGAATTTTTAGTTAGAATAATAATATATTTGTAAAGCACCCAATATCCACCTTACAGATGCTCAGTGGAGCTAATACAGTGATAAAACTGGAACATACATACATAAAACAGAGAATGATTATCTACTGGTACACAGATAGAAATAGGTGAGTCTTAAGCTGTGATTTAAAAGTGTCTTTAGTGGTTGTATTTCTGAAGTTTTGGGGAAGTGAATTCCTGCGTTGTGGGCTGATGAAAGAGAAGGCATGTTCAAAAAGTCCATTTGATTGAGTGATTTTGGTTGAGTCAAGAGAGAGTCACTGGAGGATCTGAGATTCTGCTGAGGTGAGTGAGGGGAGATAAGTTCTTTGAGATAGGATGGAAAGTTTTTATTGTAGAGACTGTCGTGAGTGAGGGTGACGAGTTTGAAGGTGATTCTTGCAGAGATGGAAGCCAGTGAAGGGACCGAAGCACATCTGGTCATAGCGGGAAGAACAGGAGATACATCAGGCAGCTGAGTTCTGAATTCTTTGAAGTTTCAGAATTGATTTGGAAGACATGTTGATAGTGGCGTACTCTGCTGATGTTGAAAATGCTGTAGTAGCAAGCTTTGCTGACAGAAACAATATGGGCGTCCATGGACATGGTGGAGGCAAGAATCACTCCCAGATTTGTGTGAAGGCACTGTGTGAGGGCAAAACTTCGGCATCGCCAATGTGAAGACACATGGAGTCAGACTCTAGCTTTCTGAGCTGGTGTTTAGATCCAGTGAGAAGAAATTCTGTCTTGTCTTCATTTAACATGAGAAAGTTAGATACCATCCACACTCTGATTTCCTGAATGCACTGTTCCAGTTTTGAGATGTTGCAGAGAATTTGAAACTGATATAGAGTTGAGTTGAGGAAATCTAGAAAATGTTTTCGAATTATGTCTCCAACAGGAAGGATGTAAATTGTGAAAAGAAGTGGTCCCAAAACCAATCCTTGTGGCACACCAAACAACAGAACTGATTTTAGTTCCATCAGGTTCCATAGGAAATCAGCAAAGTGAGAAAAATATATTTGTCCATATGAGGGTGACATTTGGGACAGAGTTATACTCAGGAAATATACTCTCAAAAAAAAAGAAACGCATCATGAAACTAGCAATTTCATGTAGCAATGAATTAAGACGTGTTTCATTTTACAAAAGGTTTTGCTCTGTTTATGAGTCCTATGGTGTTTATGTTTTGAAACAGCACAACAAAACGCACCATCTGTAAAATACCCGTATTTAACAGCATGATTTTCAATTTCGACGTGTAGTGTCACAGAATACACAATTCACATGCAATGCACGTGAAAGTTGAGGATCAGATAGTCTCAATGATGGGTATAAAAGGTTGATCGCTGTCTGTTGATTATTCACTGTACATTTGTATTTGGAATATTGTTGACGAACGCAAAATGCCACATCTAAGTGAAGCCAACCGTCATATTGCCATTGGTTTGCTTGAAGCTGGCCAGTCTCAACGTGTAGTTGCCCGACGCATGAATGTTCACCTAAGCACCATTTCACGGCTCTGGGAGAGATATCGCCGACAGAATGCGGTAGCAGATGCCCCTCCTAGTGGGCGACCTCGAACGACCACTGCGGCGCAGGATCACCACATCCGGGTACATCACCTGCATCATCGAACAGCTACGGCAACCAGTACCGCTCGACAAATACCCGGATTGAGGAGGCTTTCTGCACAGACCGTCAGGAACAGGTTGAGAGAGGCTGGTTTACGTGCCCAAAGACCTTATTTTGGCCCTGCGCTTCGACAACAACATCGTCGACATTGAGTTCAATGGTGCACCAAAGTTCAGGCCTGGAACCTATCTGAATCTGGTTCAGTGATGAATCACGATTTCTATTGGAACGGCACGCTGGAAAGAATGTGGGTGTACAGGCGTTGGCGTGAACGCTTTACGCCCGACGCTTGCGTTCCCCAGGTGGACAGATTCGGCCGGGGCAGTGTAATGATGTGGGGAGCGATCACCTGCCGTAGGAGAAGTGATTTGGTGATGATCCAGGGCAACCTGACAGCTCAATGGTACTGTGACGAAATCCTACGCCCACACCTCCTTCCAATCATTGATCGCCAGAGGGAGTTGTTTCAACAGGACAATGCCAGGCCCCACTCAGCACGTCACACTAGAGACTTCCTCCAAAACCACAACATCAATGTGCTCCCCTGGCCCTCAAGATCACCGGACTTAAACCCGATCGAACATCTGTGGGATGCCCTGGACAGACGGGTGCGACGCCGTAACCCTCAGCCCCAGACACTTCAGCAACTCCCACAGGCACTACAGGCAGAGTGGGCTGCGATTGGGCAATACGAGATTCTGAGACTTATTTGTTCGATGCCGAGGCGATGCCATGCCATGCCCACGGTGGTCACATGAGGTATTGACTTCAGCGCCACCACACGTCTCCATGTGACACTCAACTGACTTTCCTTGAGTTGGTGCCAAAGACGGATAAGTCTGCATTCCCAGTGTGCAATTTCGCTATATTTCATTGACCCATAAAGCCTACAAGATGTTTCAAAATAAACATAAAAATACAGTTGAAATTCCTATATGCGTTTCTTTTTTTGGAGAGTATATATACATATATATATATATATATATAGAGAGTATATATACATATATATGTACAGTACAGATAGATATAATGATGTACCTTAACTAGTTGTTTCAGGTGCTTGATGTCTTCACCAAGAAGAGTCCTTGCCAAAGTTTCTCTTATCTTTTGGTATTCAAGACAGACAACATATCGATCAGGGCACTCCTTTACCTGCAATTATGAAATACTGGATTCAAACATTGAAATCAAAGCCTTTAATAATTGATTTCTATTATATAGATAGTTATTCAATTCTGTCCAAAACTGCAGATTACAGAACATTGAGCAATTTCACATACCATATTCACAAAATGACTAAAAATGCACTAAAATATCACAAATATTCAAAATTGAAAGTCATTTATAAGTTGCAGAATTCCTGCATTTGATCAAGCAATAGTTTTGGGGAATAAGATACATTGCTGCTATGTAGAATCTGAATACTCAATCTGTATAGGTCTTTACATGACAGAATATGTTGATTTTAGACTAACTGAATTTGGATTAAAATACTCATCATTATCTGGAAACCAATCTTTAGGCACTGTGACCACCTCACTGACTGATTTGAACTTTTAGCTTGATAATGACGTAAGGATCTACATCGAAACGTCACTCTATGCAATAAATAAATAGTTGTCATAAATAAAGTTGTATGTTTCATTTCTGATTTGAATGGTTATCAATATTGATGTGTTTACATATTACTTGTGTCAAAATCCATCCATATCTAATAGATTTATGGTGTGAAAAGCAATATCAAGCCAGTAATATGTATAATCAGCTAAGCTGTGACTTATATGTTAACAGATTCAAGAGGCTATCCAACCTAAATGCATATCAACTCATTACTACCTCTTCAGCCAATTAGATGTGGTGTAAAATATGGTCATTGCTGCCATCCTGAAAAAGAACAGCGGTAAATTAGAAATACAATTTTAAAGTAAAGCATTCACCTGATCTGTAACATCCAGTGCCAACCATGGCACCTTGCCAGTATCACAGATAGCATGGTAGCTGTCGGTCCCGAATTCCCGACATATCTGCTTCACCAAGAACTTCCTGAAACACACCATAATAATATATTTCTATAATAAACTTGATATTGTAAAGCCTTACTATTTCTGCTAAATGTCTCATTGATATTTAGAGATGTTTCCTTAATCTTGATAACACCTGACAAAAAAAGCAACCTGTTTATAATAGACCCTCCCACAAGTGTGTAGCAGGCTCTGGGTAAGCCCTGTGTCTTCCCAAACTAGTCTTTCTCTTTTTAGTGAAAAATTGGTTAGGAATCTGAATGGATGGTTGGGTAGGTGTAAACCATGTGAGATAGAAAAGTCTTCCATATATCAAATGTATAACTAATACATAAAGTTTCAAACTTATTCTATCACACAAACTGCAGTTATTCAATACCCAAAGGAAAGAACTTAGCTATGGATTCATAAGGATAAATAACCTGCTTGGATGTAAACAAACCTTAGTGATTGTAAACAAAGTTCAAAACTAATAATCTCCTGGAAAGCCTAAGGTGCTGTGTATCATCATCAAAGAATCATTGAGTTATTCACATGATGGCATGATTGGTGACTTGGAAGGATTCATACCCACCAAAACATATCAGTATTCTGGAGGTAAAGCCCTGATTGAGCACAATGACAGATCCTCATGATTTCATGACATCCAATGTTTGCTGCTGTAGCTTGGAATGGTAAGAAGATCATCATTTAAAAGCTCTGATCCTGGAGAGGTTTGTAGTCCTCTGAAGCCAAAGCCTAAAACCAGAACCCAGACTGGTGATCCCTACTGTTTATATTTATCAGCTAGTTTGTACAATCAGATAAAAGCCTGAAGTTCAGAAACCATGGAGACATTGATGCCAGTCTTGGGAGATATTTGAGTACTGATGGCAGCCAAGTAGGTGAGAACGGTGGATCCCTTCAGCTTCATTGTTATCAATCCTCAGGTGCTGAAGTTTTTTGTGGGAGATGAAAAACTCAAGATCAAACTACAGCTTTTGAACACATTTGGTGTTTTATAATGCTCTTAAATCTTCAGTAGAGCGTGTCTGTTTAAGATGGGATGCTTGGACGTTAGTGTGGCTAAACAAGAAAGTCTTTTCTTTAGGGTAATGATTCTGTATAGAGTGGTGAACCATCAAAAAGGGGGCACTAAAAACCTGATGAAGATTGTTGGTGGCCCTGACCTTTTGGGATTATGCAAGGGAGAAGAGCTGTTGATAGGCATATGCTCACAGATCATAAGGTGGCATGAGCACTAAAGTTCCATGCTTCTGATTTGTGGTACATATATGCATTTTCTGTGGCTGAAAATGTCATGTGACAGTTGTATCAATGTTTTAATAAAAATATTGTACAATAAATAAAAATCTTTTTTATCTATTATACGGCCCCCACCACGTGGAGTTACCTCCCTGCTACACATGTGCAGCCAACCAGGTAAGCACTTAGGCCCGTATCATCATTCCTTCTGCTGAATAAATCAGTGAACAGAAATTGCGGGGAGGTGGGTGGCCCTACCCCAAGAATGACTCTCTTCAAAGAATTGGAAACCTCTACAGGTTTGGCTATTTCTTTTTCATAGAGATCGTCCTTGGGGTACATATATGCATTAACTCAGACTCCCAAAGACCGGAGGCCAGGGAGGAGGGAATTCTGTTAAAGTACACATAATTAGCGATCGTTAGGAAGAATGTAACAGACGCCACAACACTCACCTGTCACGTATGCCGAAGCTTCCGCAAGAGGCATGATGGGAGGGTAACCGACAGGGAAGAAAAGTACTTAGATCCGACCTCATAGGTTAAGCATAGCAATTCGCACACAGTGCGAAAGTAAAACCCCCGCTCACATCATGGTCTATTAGAGAGCACATGAATGTGTATCGAGCTGATAGTGCCTGATAAAAGTGCTAGGCCTGCTCCAAATAGCGGCAGAGCATATCTCTTCAATGGGCAGTGCCGATGCAAAAGCCTTTGACGTGGCCACTGCCCTGACTGAGTGAGCCTTCAACCCCTCAGGTGGAGGCTTGCCCTTAGCCTGATAAGCAGCACAAATGACCCGATACAAACCAGCGAGATAAGCCTTCCTGCCACCGTAACAGCAGAACAGATGGGTACCCGTACAGATCCCTTGTGTTCGTTTGATATAGACCTTGAGAGTCATTTCGGACATCCAACGGGTGAGTGCTCGTTGCACAGGTCCCCGATGTGGAAGGCTGGGTAAGAGTAGGAAGTTCGATAGGACCGCCACCAGAAATACGTCTTTCCACGTTAACAACTGAATGGAAATAGCCGATAGACGTGAGAATGTAGGACCGGACAGCCAATCTATCACGATTGACAAATCCCAAGGTGGGATGGTTCGCCTGACAGCAGGTCGAACCCGATCCACGCCAGCTAAAAAGCGCTGTAGAAGAGGGTGCTGCCCCAGAAGAGCACCATCGACAGGGGTGAGAAAAGTGGAAATAGCGGTGGAGTAGCCACGAATGGTCAAAGCCGCCAAGCCTTCTTCCAAACGAGCTTGCAAAAACTCCAATACTCGGACTAAATCCGCAGAAAAGGGATCTGCAAAACCCCTTATCTGAACACCAGCGCGCATAACGGGACCACCTATCCTCATATTGAACGTTTGTCGAATCCCGCCTCGAAGCCAGAATTGTGTCTGCAACTGCTGCAGGAATTCCGCGTGCTTCACCTGACAGAGGCCAAGCCATCCACTGAATCCTTGGATTGGGGTATGGTGTGCCGTTCTGAGTGAGAATGTCCGGTCGCAAAGGTAATAGAACAAGAGGCTGAGCCAGAAACCTGAGAATTACCGGGAAACCAGAATTGTGACGGCCATAGCGGTGCCAGTAGCGCAAGTAGCCGAGCTGGCTGGGAGGACAGCTGCGAGAGGACCCGGGGAATGAGTGGTAGCGGCGCGAACGCCCAGAGCACTTTGCCCGTCCAATCCAGTAGGAAGGCGTCGGAAGCCAACGCCCTCTGGTCTGGTATTCGAGAGCAGAACACGGGTATCTGATTCGTTCTGCCGGACGCAAACAGACCCACCTAGAACCCAACTGGGAGATAACTCCAGCCCCGGGAGATAAACAGGAAGCACCTGACAGTCGCACTGGTAGCACCAGAGGAGAAATTCCCACGTCTCCCAAAGGAGCGCTAGGGACACCATGCCGCCTTGCTTCAGGATGTACGTCATGGCCGTATGGTTGTCCAACTGAAGACGAACCACCTGGCCCTGGACATGCTCGAAAACCAACCGCACAGCTCTCAGTTCCAGGACGTTGATGTGAAGGCGGGCCTCAGCTTCGGACCAGAGTCCGGACACCGACAGACTGCCCAGAACAACCCCCCTAGCCCTTGAAGGATGCATCGGTTTGAACTGTAAGAGCTGGCATCGGGAGTTCCAAAGGGATCCCCTTGGAGAGATTCCCGACATTGGTCCACCACTGAAGGTGAGGAGACAACCACCCGGGGACTGTGACACACTGCTCCAGACTCGCCAAAGCTTGCTGTATAGGGCGCATCCTCAACCGCGCCCGCCACACTACAGAGGTAGTTGCCGCCATATGACCCAGTAGACGGAGCCCAGTCCGCGCTGGTGCCTGGGGCTGGGAGAGGAACAAAGACACCATCTCCCGTACTCTGGTGACCCGGTCGGGCGACAAGGAGACAAGACCCTTGTGAGTTGTGAACCGCGCCCCGAGAAAAAACAAGTCCTGGGTGGGTACCAGGTCGGATTTCTTGAGGTTTATGATCCACCCCAGTCGAATTAGAATGTCTATCACCGTGTGGGTAGAATCTAGCGACCGCGAAAAGGCTGATGGCAGCCAGACGAAGAGGACTGCTCCTTGCCCTTTGGTGGGACAGCTGGTCCTCCTACCCCTGCCCCGGCAGACTCGGGCCCCTGATGGGAGCCAGACGAAGAGGACTGCTCCTTGCCCTTTGGTGGGACGGCTTGTCCTCCTACCCCTGACCTGGCAGACTCAGGCATAGGCTGCGCCCCGGAGGAGGAACCCGCTATGGGAGCATGGGGCCGAGAAGCCCGCGGATGCTCCAACAAGGCCGTAGAGTCCTTGAAGGAGGTAGCTGCGGCAGCAGCCTCCCGAATGACCTGCTGAGCCCCCGGAAACAACGTCGGTCCCAGTTGGAACGGAAGGGCCAGCAAGGTCTGCTGTGTCGCTGCCGAGTAGCGGGACGTAGACAGCCACAGCTTTCGTATCACCATGACTGAGCACATCACCGTAGACGCCGCAGACCGCAAAGAATCGCGCGTTAGGTGGGCCTGCACTTCGGACAACCGGTGAAGCAGAACAACATGCGGGGACACGTCCCCAGTGCTCCCTTCCGCCTCCAGAGCTGACCTTTGAATAGAGGAAAGGTAGGCCTCATGGATCACCACCCGCACCTGCTGCATGGCATTCCGATAGACTTCCTCATAAGTCCGGTATGCCTGTTACAGGGGAGTGCCCTCAAGGGCAAATGGTGGAACTAAACGCCCTTGCTTGGCAGCCACAGCTGCACCTGAGGAAGCTGTACTGAGCCTCCCTCGAGGGTGACCGCAGTGAACACGCACTCGTCAACCACCGGCACAAAGAACAGAGAATCGTCCCTAAGCGGGTAAATCGAACCGGAGGCGTGTCCCAACCAGGAGGGGATCCATCACGTCCTGCACCAGGGAAGGCAAGATACAGAGCAGTGTCTGCGAGGGTTGCCTATGGGCAAACGCCTCGCCCGGCAGGCGAAACTCAGCTGAGTCCGAATGACAAGTGGGTACCGTGGCTTGGGGAATATACTTATGCTTGTCGCACCTCCCGGAGAGCCGACGAGAAACGGAAAGTGCCCTCTGGCTCCTCGACCTCCCCATCGTCCATAGACTCGGCACCCGAGCCCGACTCAGAATTCGGGTCTCCTCGTGAAGAGGATCCGAACCCCGACCCGATGGGAGGCTGAGCCGCAGACACCGAGGGAAGGAAAGAGCCGAAGGAACTCCCCGCTCCGGCAACCGACACACTACTCGAACCCCGGTACCGAGACACGGGAGGAAGACCGGGCAGAACCGACTCCGTGGCGCAGGGAATGGAACCCCAGGAATCCTCAACGGACCCTGCGCCAGCACCGAGAGGGGGACTGGGAGTGAACACTCCCCCTCCGTGGTAGCCAAGGCGTCTGGACCTGAAGCCAAAGGCAAAGGATCGACAGACACCTCCAGGCTAAGGGATCGAGCCAGCTCGGCGATCCCACCCCCGGACTCTCGGTCCCCTGTTCAGAGTGGGCGAGGAACTCCTGGTGGAGACCTCCAACGGACTCATGAACAAGGGACTTCACTGAGTCCATATGCTGCTGAAACAATTGAGTGATTAGTGACATATCAAAACCACTAGATTGGGATGACTGGAAAGGCGACTTATGCGACCTAGTTTTAGGTTGTTTGGCTTTTTTGGCTTTGGACGGGGGGACCTCCTGGGTAAGTTCCCCTCCCGCCTGTTGCAATTCCTTATAGAAAAGGAAATCCGCCGCCCTTCTCTTCTGGGCCTGGGGGGAAAAGGCCATACAGAGCTCGCAGACATCAGGGTTATGTCCCACCTTCTCTAAGCAGCACAAGCATTTATCATGCTTGTCGGCTGTAGGATATTCTGCCCACAGACAGAACACCCAGTAAACACCTGAAAGCAAACACGCAAGCATGTAGCTAACAGCGGAACCAGCAGCATAAATATACACGTACAAAACATTGAAAATTACGTTAATGCGACCACGGGCATGAAATACTTGGTTAATAACGCAATATGGCAATAACCACGTGGCACGCTAAACTTCCCGCCATGGAATAGCAACACGTGCGTAAACCACGGGAAAGCTAGTGTAAAAGTTTATACAAAGTCACATAAATGAGAAATAACAGACTGCAAAGTCAATTAAACTGTTCTGTTTCTTTTCCAAGAACGAATAAAGACCATACATACAGTTGTTGAAGTCTCAGACATTCTTCTAACGAAGTAAATCAGCTTGTAACTCAGGTAGTAAAAACGTGTGAACGCTTGAGTGACAGCAGAAGGAATGATGATACGGGCCTAGGTGCTTACCTGGTTGGCTGCACATGCGTATAGCGCAGGGAGGTAAACTCCACGTGGTGGGGGCCGTATAATAGATAAAAAAATTTTTTTATTTATTGTACAATATTTTTATTAAAACATTGATACAACTGTCACATGACATTTTCAGCCGCGGAAAATGCATATATCTACCCCAAGGACGATTTCTATGAAAAAGAATATTCTTGGTCAGCAGTTGGATAGGAGCAGTGACTGCGTGCGTATAATTGTCTTTGTATACTTTGAAGATGATATCTGTGACAGTTTTCATCATTCGGGAAAATAGCCTTGGGGTCATGAATTGCCAAATAGCAGGATCAGCCACTGGTATTGCAAACGTTGAAAGAGAGAAAGTGCCTGTATTTACAATGAATGAGGACATAGAGACACTTTTTGGTGTCATGGTCCAAGTCTACCATGATGTTACCTTGGATGATTATTCAAGTGATTAAAACATTTTCTCTTCATGCTGAAGACCTGGGTTTGATTCACACATAGGTACAATGGGTGAAGCCCAATTTTGGTGTCCCCACCATGATATTGTTGGAATATTGCTGAAAGTTGTGTAAAGTCAGATCCATGTAGTTATCTGATAATGGTGATTGTCTGATGCTGCTCAATCACTGTAACAGAGTAGATTCTTGTTCCTATGACCTTGATGTTGAACTTAGAGGTCAATGTATGCTCCTCTGCTTTTTAGGAATAACCCCTCTTTTATCTCATTTGTTGAAGGTTGATCTCATTATGTGTTAAGGAGGAAGCTGAACGTTTCCAAATGCGTGTGATACCCTAACCCCTTAACCTGCTCCAGAATGCTAAGTCACATAAGAAACCAGTCGGGAGCATGGTTGAATGATGATGTCTGAGTGATATAAGGAATGAATCAGATTCCTCCTCTACTATCAGCACTGGCCAAAACAAAACAGGATCTGGATGTTGCATCCATGATGGTCTCACTGCTAGTAAAAGTCCTTAGTCGATGGCATCTTGGAAGTAGAGGATGGCAGTTGTGGCTCAGTTTGACCATCAGTTTCTAGTCTCTCTGACACTTCTTAAGATACATCTTAAACTCCTCCTAGGTGGGCTTTGGATTCTCTGCGACACCATGTACAAGCATAACATAACTGAATAGCTTATTGTTTAAATACAAATATTGCATTTGATGGTAACTTGACCCTAAACTAATAGTTGAAATCTGCATTCAGGAATGGCAAGAAGAATATAGGAAACCTTTTGTAAATATCAAAGCAGAGACTACTTCTCATCTTTTCATCTAAACAAGGTAAATAAACTTTATCATTAACATGTGTCTAGTTACATACTTACTTAGGCCATTCTGTGTCTTGGACACTCAGCAGCTGTGATGTCCTTTCCAACAGTTTGTTGAAATTCCCTGTTGAAGTTTTCTTGTGTCTTGCAACAAACATTGCATGCAGATATTTGGCTGTCACTGATAGACCATATCTACACTGAGCAATGTTAAACATCTTAGCCATATCCAAGCCTGATGACAGAATGTAGGTTCTCCCATCCGACAGGTGGGAACAAGCAGCACTCATCTCTTCTGATGGTCTAATTGTCTGGGACCCTTGCTCATGGTACAAGTCCTGGAATAATGTACACATTTCAAACAAGGCATTTTGATTCAAATATACCATACTAGATACTACAGGATATAACTTGAAGATGATCTTGAATACTTATTCTAATGCCCCAAAATAATTCCAGTGAAAAGCTACATATCATTCCAAAGCTTTAGCTATCACACATTTGTTGATTTTTCATAGAAGATTCATAAAAAGAATTCACATTAAATATTTGGTTCTAAAGGTTGTGTGTATCTCATGGTTTCATGTGCTAACCACTATATTCACCAAAAGGTTTCATATTGTTCGAATCATTCAGACAAAAAACACCAACAAATATTTGAATATCAGGACTAAATCTTAATAGCACTGTTATGACAATAAAATAAATATTCTGTGAGCCTTATGTATTTTAGAATTTACACTAAAATATTTACTAATTTGTGAAAAAATATCCTAAAAACCCTCGTCTGAATCTGCCATAAATCATGACCAGATGACCTACAATCAAAATATCATTTCACTTCACCATATGTCAAACCTACCTCAAAGCAGTGTATGACAAGAAGACTGAACTGCACAATTTTATCTATAGTATCCTGGTCTGTCTCCTCTCTTCCTTGACGACACAGTCCTGTAGCATGGCAGAAAAAATCTTGCAGGTACATTTGTACCATCTCTTCACTGAAGAAAAAGGAACAACTTAGTGTATTACTATGTATATTTACATCAATCAAAACATTCATGCTCAATCACCATGTCTACACAAAATGTGAAACAGTGTTTATATTAATTTCTCAACAAGGTTCCTAATAGTTTCCTTAATTGGTGCAATTAGTGCCATAAACAAGAAGCTAAAAGGTTAATGAAGGAAATTTGGAGCAATACAGTATAGGGTAAGGCTGATTACTAGGACCAAGAAGTCATTACATTATAATGTAACTGTTTTACCACTATCAAAATGGGTTGTTATTCTATCAAAGTATTGAAATAGCAGTTTTTGGAGTAGGGTACTTAATAAAATGATTACTTTACTTGTTAAGCATGTCCAGGTTAACACCATTAATCTTTTGATCATAACTTACAACGGCAACAAGGACATAGATATACCTCTTGTGTATGAGAAGTTGAAGAAGAAAGGATCTGACTACAGGTGTGGGATCAATCATGTCATCAAACACAGACATCTGCTTGGTGTACATCCTTTCCCCAGCTTGATTAGACCGCTCAACAGTGCGAGTGATGTAGCTGAAAATTCTCTTTATGACATCACTCTCTGGAGGCTCAGTTCCACCAAAACACAGCTTGGACACCACAGACATGAGAAAGCTGTTGCAGCACTTCAGATACTCTTGGTATTCTTTGAAGACTTCCCTGTACAACACAATTGTTCAAGTTACAAATGCATGGGGAACATTAGACACATTGCCTATCATATCATTAGGTCAATACCTGTCCCAGTTGAATGATGTACCTAATCAAATTTTGCACTTTTAGTTATCTGGTCATTGAAAGACATATATTATCTTTCTTTTCTAAAAGGACAAAATACGTAGTCAACCAGAGAGGCATTCATTTTGTACGCTGACTGTTCAGCAGCAACCCATTTTTCACGTTTTGATTTGCCTAACCCAGCACTTCTTTTTCAGAGAATACTTTATGCTAACTGCATTTGTTACAAGACGACAAAGTCATCAATATCCCCCGAAATGGCAAAATACTCTTTATGAATATGTCTACTAATTATGATTATGTCAATGTTTTGGAGTGTATACAGCAAAGTGGAAGGAGAGTATTGAAAGGTTTTAAGATCTGCTCCAGAAAGGAGCACTACCACCAAATTCAGTTGAAGCCTAACTTGTTGCCATGGAAAATGCAACAATTAGATGACATCCTCATAGTCACAGCCTAAGTCATGTTTCCATGGAAACCACAAAAAAATACAATTCATATCTGGTTCTAAACCCCAAAAGGCACATCTAAGGATCATGCTTGATATGTGTACCAAGTTTGATGAAGCTTGTATGTTTAATTTATGAGATCTGCTCCAGACAAGTTGACATCCTCACAGCCACAGCCTTAGTCACGTTTCCATGGAAACCACAAAAAATAAACTTCATATCTGGGTCTTACCCCCACAAGGCACATCTTGGGATCATGCTTGATATGTGTACCATGTTTGATGAAGCTAGCATGTATAGTTTGGAAGATCTGTTCCGGACAAGATGACATCCTCATAGTCACAGCCTAAGTCATGTTTCCATGGAAACAGCCGAAAATAAAATTCATATCTGGGTCTTACCCCTAAAAGGCACATCTAGGAAAATGGTTGCTATGTGTACCAAGTTTGGTTAAGATATCACCAATAGTTTAGGAGATATGCTTCGGACAAAGTGTGACTGACGCATGGACGGATGGAACTCATTTCTATATCCATCAAGTATGGCCTATAAAAGAAAAAAATAATCAGCTTGGTAAGGTAAACGTTATAGAAGATAGTACTTTGTATAACATCTTGTTGTGACAACTCACTTTTGCTGTGATTGGCCACTGCCAGGTTGAAATCTCTTTGAGAATGTATTATTACAAATAGGACAACGCAAATCCCTTGTAGCTTGGATATCATTGAAACATCGTAGGCAGATGTCATGTTGGCAGGGTAGTTGTACTGGTGGTGCTTCAAAGTCAGTTTCACAGTGCCTGCAAGTATCCACTTTTCTGAAAAATAAACCAGCACAACACATTCAACAGGAAGTCAAAACATATAAGAAGTCCTTTATGTCACGGTACTATGTTAAACTGAACCTTCAGAAGCAAACAAGTGATGTTACCTTAATTTCAAACTCGTACTTCACAGAATGTTGAAATGATGGGTAATAAGCGAATTGAATGCTTCATATTTCGTATACCTCAGAGGTTTAGCAACGCATTAAGTACATATCAAAACCCAAGTATTTTCCTGTATTTAATGATTCTATCATCAACATCATCATCATCAAAATCTTTATTACATATGAAGGCCACAGCCCCATATACATATTGATATACATATTCTATCAAAACACTCTGATCCAAAGTACCTACCCACTGATTTTCTTCACAACTGATTTGTTGACTGTTTTCAAGAACCGCTCTACTTTTTCAAGGGGACTTCAGTTTTGTCAGATCAGTTTGGTCATCAAGCATCTGCATACAAGGTTGATTGAATGAACATTTCAACAGATGTCAATACCAAAGTCATTTCCATCACAATGACCTGCAAGTATCTGATCATACATACCAGTGGTTGATAAAATGGCTGAAGGAAAGATATACTTTTAATTTCAGAATTACTTACATGGCTGAAGGAAAGATATACTTTTAATTTCAGAATTACTTACATGAGATCTATCTTATTTTACTTGCCATACTGTAGATGATCACTGGTGAGAATAATAATTACCTTCCAAAGAGGCATGCATCTCATGTCCAGCTGAACCTTTTTGTTTCCAGTAAAACTTTCCAGAAACAGTTTCATGGTCATAACTCGCATCCAACTGCATCTGAAAATAGTTTGACATATTGTAATAACTTCATCTGAGTAGCTGTGTAATACAGAAAATATCTGACAAATTTGTATTTTACAAAGTTCAGTGTTTTATGAGGACAAGTATAATAACTTTAATTACCTGGCATGATCCATGTACCGGAGACACACATTGCCGTGTGCAAGGTCTGTGTCTGTAGTACTGAGGATTCTACCTATCACAGGCAGATACATTTTGACACGACCCATCCAGTCTGATCGGCCTTTGTCTGTGTTCAGCTCATCCTTACTTGGCTCCAGCTGCTCCATGAGAAGTGTCAGACTCAGAACATCCAAAGTCTGAAGTAAAGTAGGAGTACAGTACTGCATTGGACATAGACACAGTCTGCATTGTAAAATAGAAGTATTTTCTAATTCAAAATCCTATATATGAACTGTAGTCATATAGTACGTGTAGTAATGAAACTAAATAATCTTGAGAGACTCACAAGTCAAGTTATACTGCTATATCATGACAGTCAAAAAGTAATCACTATAAACCAGTGAACGATAGCTCGATATGGTTATCATTGTCAGGGTATTATTACACATAACAATGTAACCAGATCAACAAGTCGGGATATTACATTTAACAAAATGAGTTATCAAATATGATATGTTATCAAAGATTCTGAATCAAATGTGCAAACTCATCATTGAAGCACACACCATTTCATCATCTGTGAGCAGTGGGTTTCCCCCTACCCTCTCCTTCAACTCAGTCACAGCCATCACAACTTCCGGCCAGATCTGGATCACTTCCAGGAAGACCTGTAGCCTCTCTTTGGCAGCAGAGTGGATAACATGGATGTAGACTACAGCTCGTATCATCCCCAGACAATCCAGGTCTCTTCCTCTCTGTCGGGCTGCACTCTCAAGGGCATGACACAGAATCTGGGAAATACATGAACCACAATTCTTCAACTGAATTTTTTTGTACAAAACTACTCCTATATTAGTTGTTGTACATCATACTGAATGAACTTTTACCTCAGACTCATCTGTTTTCCCTGGATATTCTGTATGGACAAAATCTTTCAGGTATGCTTTTATAACACCATTCTTTTCTTCCTTTTTCACAACAGACATTAGGACCTCGCCATAAAGAGTTTTGCTGATAATGTTCTCAACATAACTCATAGTTTCAGGCGAATCTGAAAGGAATAAAAAATAAAACATGTTTCAAAACAATCATTTCCCTTTGAGACATTATTGAAGTATACATTATAATACTAACTGATCAATCATTTAAAGTTTGTTCAAATCATGTAATTCTGCTTAATGACACATGCAAATTTAATGTTACAAAAGATTAGTTGTAGTTAATTATCCACTCAATATGGTACCTTGTGTAGTCAGACTGTGATGCAGGGAATCAGACAGTACATACTACTCACTAATGTAACTGCTGAAAAAGGAACACAAACTGTATCTACCTTGATCAAAGGACTTGCCAATATCTTCCGACTGTCCAATGGCAATTTTCACATCTTCAAAGAGAAGCCAGAAAAATGGTGTCTGTACTGTAAACACCAATTTGCTGACTCCAAAATGATGTGGTACAACCTCACTCTGCTGGGTCTGGTTGCCACGTGTGATGATCCTCTTACATTGGTCTTGACATATTTTGGTGTTGTTTAGCAATCCCAGCCACAGTCTTTTCATCCATGGTGCAACATCAGCTTCATGCATGAAGTCCAGGTTCCTACTGGTGTCTAGGAAAGCCAGAACCCGAGCCAATACTGGGGTCAAATTTGTTCTCAAGGCACTGGATGGCAGCACGTCTACAAAGTATTATAGCTCATGTAAACAAAATTATCAATGACAAAATGTCAAGATTTAGAGGCACTGTTTTCAAAGATTGAATACATACCTGAACGTTCCTGCCTTTCTAACATTCTCTGGTCTGGCAGCTTCTTTAGAAAGCCAGTTTGTTGGCAAGATACCAGTCTGTGATTCCTCTTTTTCTTTCAGGAGGCTGATGATGAGTTTTGACAAGCCTTGCATGAACATTTTGGCATCTAAAATAAGAAACAGTACCATCAACAGAACCATTAAAGCTTTCACAAAATAACCTGTTCTAAAGAGTACTTAAATTAAGCTGAGCTAATCTCTCCTCTGTTTTGCCCAAATAGGTATATTTCTCAGATACATGGCCCTGTGTAAACAAATCAAAATATTAACGTGGCTAATTAAAGGATTTCCCATACAAATATTATGCTATTTGCTATGGCAGTGCAGGTCACCTAGTTGTGAAATAAACAGTTAAATATGCCCATAAAGTCAACCACATAACAAAACTTGCTGTCTGCATTAAATTGTTTTCTTCTTAAATACTGAAACTGACTAAAGAAGTAAAACTGACAAAACTTCAATTCAATCAATAAAAACATGATATCTTCGAAGAAGTCCCATACATCACAAAGTACGCCTTCTCAGTCTTGCAATTTCAGCTTTAAATGCATTTTGAGAGAACCTAAAGAGTATAGTTATAAAACCATCAAATCCAATAATATTGTGAAAAAAGAACATATGCAGTCCTGCAACAAGGGTCGGTCAAAAAGTAGTTGGCCTATGGGGGAAATGTGGTTAATAAGATATCAGTCTTCACAACACATTGGGGTATAATGTTTCTAAAAAAATTGCAGAAAATGAAAAACGATCTGTCATTTGGTACCTCTTGGATGATGGTATGCCCTCAGATAATATCATATAAAAGATGTTCAGTATTGGATGACTTCCCGTCATAATCAACAAAGATTTGGATTGCTTGATCTATATTTAGATGGGGGCTGTGTTTTTTTCAAGGACACCCCCATTTTAGTCTTTCAAAAACATTGTGTCCAGATATTCAAGCTGGCCCTGTTTACAATATATTGAGAGCTAGCACTTGTGTGACCATTCTGTGTATATATAGTTTGAACCCTTGGCATCATGTATGAATAAGTAAAACATTAGAATAAGTTATGTCCATATGATTAAGTCATCTCAAAGAGGGTAGTGTCTCCAAAACAAGCTCTTTCAGTAAACATGAAGGGGAGTCAATTTATCAAGCAATTGTAGTTTCAAATTGTTTATTTATGCACTTTAATATCTAAGATTGAGTCTAGTAGACTTCTACCTATTTCAAACACACAAAATGTTTCTTGCATATTTTGTTTCCTGAAGTTTGTGATTTTGCGTTTTTTGGGGGGGTACCAAGATAAAAAGTCAATATGTAAGGATAAGAGAATATGTAGAAAAATAAAACAAAAACAGCTGCAATTGTATCATTTTCTAGGTGAGGACTACTTTGACCGACACTCATATTACAAAGGCCTTAAAATTGGATTTAAACCTCTTGAATGAATTTGGGTGTCATCTTTGGTGGGAACAGACTATGACATAAACTCACTTGACTTTCAGTAAGGTGAGCTAAATACAGAACACACATCCAAAGTGAATTGAATTAGTTGGATTTAGCATACTGAATCATATAGGTATTGCATAAACCACTTATGTGGCTGGGTCATAATAGAGGAATGTGTGTAGTGACACTTGACAAATCTATGAATCTCCATCATGGATGAATCTGGGCTCAGTGGATCCTTGCCCTAAAGTCATATTACTGGCAAATCTCTATCAACTACCAACTATCACTATCAGCTACCACTGACCTTCATTATCAGTGTTATCCAGGAGTTTAAGGAGTATCTCTATCCTCTTAGTGGAGCGTTTAGTGTCCAATTCAACATCCCTGATGAGAGCAGCAGCAGACTGGATGCAGGGCAGGAGGAGGTGTTGGAAGTGCAGGGGTGCAACAGTTTCTGTTACTGATGTCATTCCTTCTAATGTAATGTCATCCATTTCTAATGGATCTTGTCTTTGGTAAATAACAGATTCATCAACTTCCATCAACTCTGCATGTCTCTGTTTGGTCCTCCAACTTTCTTGATCAGCAAGATTCCCGATCAAATCTTCATCATACTCCATTGGTTCAATTCTTTGCTCTGATGGTTGGACACTTGTAGGGGGCATGTTGCTTTTCCGCCCTTCTAGAATAGATGATGGTGCATTCTGGTGAAGCACCTCCATGGATGGCATGTCTGAAGTTGGCGGTCGCAGTTCATCTAGATGTAACGAATGCCATTTCCCAGCCTGAAAGTATTTATAAGGACAATAGATTCATATCTTGGAAAATTGAAATGTTTTTATACTTACCTGATGCTACACAGAGCTTCAGCTACCTGCCTTAACAAAATAGTCAAAAGGCAGAGAAAATTCACTGAAAAACAGTGTTGCAATTGTATTACAGTATTTCTGTTCAGATTCAGTAGGGGGCAATGGTATGTTTGTTACTACATTTACACATGGGTCACATGTGATGGGGAAGCGTATAGAACAGCACAGTTCTGGAAGCCAATATATATATATAAGGCAACAAATGTGGGCCTATGTCATCTCAAATTACATCAAGACAAGCAGTCTGTGAAAACTGTCATTTTCATCCTGGATATCCAGCATTGGCTTGTTTTGGAAGTCTCCATCATTGTCAATGACTTTGTTTCTATTGCTGCTGCTGTCTATTTAATACTGCCATTCTTGTTGCACTGCCCTTGAAATTGGTACTTGAATATGCAAACTGACATAATGTTAAAATACAATCATTAATTGTATAATATTTTAGTTTTGTTTGTTGGTTTCAAACCAAGGTCATTTACATAAAGAAATCTGGTTAACATTTTCTTTTTTAACTTGGAAATAAACGAGCAGCAAATTAGAAAGTAACGGAACAAAGTGTTAAAACAGACTATAGCCCATGCCCAAATACCACCAAAGCTATCTGCTTGTCCCCTCATATTAACATTACAGCAGATTTGGCTTGGACAGCAGTGACAGAATGGTAAGATAGAGGTTTCAGGCTCTGGTACAGAAATAGGAGGAAGTCGGCAATCAATGGAATGATGACCAGAATGATGTGTGGGGCGAGTAAGAGGTGTGAAAGAACCTCACTTGACATCCTAGAGGGAAAAGAGTGGATGTTGAATGAGCCTTGGAGGTTGCTTCAGCGGCATAGGCTGAGAAATCCAGGGACCTTTGGTGATCTTCTTAAACACATCTGACCAATAATGATATTTTTTCTCTCTTTCAGCAGGTTGATAAGAATCTATTCTGAACATATATGATCTCACCTGAAACCCGGAAAAGCACCCTCCAGCAATATTAGGCAGTTGTATGATGAAGACTACAGCAAACTGTCTTGCATCATGTAGCTCATCCAAAACACAGTACTGGGCACTCCTGATGAGAGACTGGTTCCTGTCTCCAGATCCACACTGAACTAGCAGCAGTTTCTGACCCTCTCTTACTTACAGCTGAACAAAGTTTCTGCAATTTGACAAAAATAAGTATTGAACAGCAAATTTTTGGCTTACATAAGCACTGGAGTAAACTCTTTCAGGTGCATATATTCATATAAATCTGGCAAGGAACAGGATAATCCCAGAACCTGGGTAAATGGACTGAACATTAATGCTTGCCAATGTGTTCTATTATGTCCCAAACTTCATGTGCTGCCAACACTTTTGAATTCATTAAGGAAGTCAATAGCTGAAGACACCTACTTGATCTGCTGTGCAAATTGCTGCTCTGTGTCAAAGGACTGCAGTGTGAGCAGGATGATATTGTTGGGAGTCAGACTTAGATGTCCCCAGGTCCTCCTTTTCCTGGTCTGTCAGCAGTTTGGAGTGAGTTGTCACCTATAATTATGTGTGGACAAAGCCTAATTTGCAGTCAAGGAAGACAAGTTAAGTATAAAATGTCTTTCTAATATTTAAAAAATTGTTGATATATGACCCTTTTATTTTCTAATGATCAAATATACATTGCCTTATTGTAATTGTATAAAATTGTATGAATCAGTATTGTTTGTTTCACTGAGCAATATTCCTTTGCAGTCCAGTCACTGAATCAGACCACCTTAAACATTTAGTCACTCCTTTACAAACAACTCAGGTTACTGGTGATCTGGAATCCCAATCATCGTGATGTTCTTTACTGTAATACCTGAGCTTGCAGTGTTTGACATTTTGCCTCTTAGGATCTTCCAATGAAGATACTTCCTCGACCACAATATCTGCAATGATGGTATTTTTTTAAGATCTTTCGACCCGTTACTGGCGATGAGTCGCATGCGACCAGCCTTATCGCTTTTCCTTCACTCTCCCCGTTTTTCGTTCTAATTGATCTGCTGTAAACCCTGGCGTTTCCGTGGGAGGTTGAGGGTTGATTCATGATTGCGGGATAAGGCAAAAATATTACCACAATTTCAAAATTGGCATATTTTTCATCCTGACCTTTAATTTTGCTTTATAGAATCCCGCGGATTGTGCGGGTCGTCGTACTTCCCGGACCATCAGCTGTCCTTAGATACGGTACTTTGATCCTGGCCCTTCCAACTCGCTGGCAACCCCGTATCCACTATCTGGCTCTACCAGTCCTGGTAATGCTTAACAACCATGCCGACCATGGCTTCAGATAAACCAGTGCATCTCTTCTATTGGCTGTATATCTTATAACAACCTATGCAGATTATGATAAGATCTCTTTATCATATATGAGTTGCATCCTCTGTACGCCAGGTACATCTCTACCCACAGATTCCTTTAATCACTCATGCTAGCCTGCGCGACCTGGAAAGCATGAATTTTCGCAACCTTAGTATTTTCCAGTAAAAGCTATCAAACTAGTCAACGGATAAAGGCAAGCAGAGATCTTCAACTCAGCCTTTGAGGAACCGCGCCGCCGTGCCAAACGAAAGTAATTGGAGGAATGCCCAGACGCCGCCGCAGTACAGTCCGGAGGTAGTGGTTGGCAAACACTGTGTCCAACTTCCAAAAAGCAGCTTCCTGAATCGTTGTATAATCTCCAGCCGCAGAGGCACAGTTGACGAAGTGCTCTTGACTCCTGGGTTGGAAGCTCTAGAGGTTCAGTCCTGCTGCTTCGAGCAGGCCTCAATATGACGGCACTCATCCAGAATCCATATCGCTGCTCTTTTGAGACTTCTGCTGATGTTCCCCGCTGATAAATGGATGAATAGCTTGAATTTTCGTCTCCCTATTCCAGACACAAGGATAGGTCTTCTATATCCTTTGGGCCGAGGATCGTGATAGCGCTGGCGGCGTGGAATCGCCCCTTCTGGCTTTGACCAGGTATTATTCTTGCAAATGAAGTCCCATCTAAGTCCTAGATTTACTGCAGCATGCTGCCCTGTGTCGAATCTTACCCCACTGCAAAGTCCAGCGATGTATCTCTATAGCCGTGGCTAGCTAAGCAGGAACAGAGTCCTCTCAGTCAGCAACCTCGCAGTCTGGTTCCAGTGGGTTCAGAGGCATCACCGCAGTGCATATCGTGAAATTACATCTTGATCCTGTGCCGAGCTCTGAACTCTTTGTTGGTCCCTCCAGTTTAAAAAGATCTTTCACAGCTTTATGCCTGTTTTCATGGTAATGACTAATTTGCTGGCATGTATGTAGATAATGTCGAATCTTCAGATGTCTAGTCTGTCCCCTAGATGACAATAGGTATTCCTTCACTTGAGGAAGAGGCTTCCATCGCCAATGAAGCCTTCGCCCTTGTGCATAAGTTCCCAAAACTTCTGTGACACTTGTCATCATACATGTTGGCCAGTAGGACCGCGCATAGCATTACCAGCCCTTTAGCTGCCCTGGTGGAGTATCCTCTTTCTTCAACATGTTTTGATACGTCCACACGTGAAGCAACAGCGTTGGTCTCTGTGGATCTGCTGGTGCGGATGTAAGGAGTAGGTTCAGCCAGTCTCTAAAACTCGATTGTTGGACTTCTGAGATCTTCTATTAGGTCTAGGGAACCAGTTGCTACTCTGCTGGCCAGTATGGCTACCAAAGCTCAGTTGTAGCGCCTGTGTCTGTTTGATCTTCTGTGCAGAACTCTCGGGTAGGTAATATCGGGTGGAAACGGTAGTCGCTAGTCCTCCAAAGATATGCTCAGTGCATCTGTTGTGGTGAGACAAACGTCTGTAGTTGCTTGTTGAACCTTGTAGCAAAACAGGTCTATGCAAGGATTCTATTTTATGATTGAACGCTTCTGGATGGAGCATCCAATCTTAGGTGACGGGTGCAGTGGTCGGGAGAGAGCGCCTGCAGAACGCTCTTGGCTCCGTATGCGATACTTTATCCAGATAAGTTTATCTGGATGTGGGACATCTGGAATGTGAGCTGTAGAAGGCTTGGAGACCTGTATCTCTTGTCATTTATGGAGAATGCCAATTGCAGAGTTGTCACCATCAGCATTTTGTTGTTCAGCGAAGCTCGACTATAGCGTGTTTGATCATCGGCCATCTCTGTGCAGATTGATGAAATAAGGCTCTAGCTCTGGACCACTTCCTGATGCAACTTGATCGTTGAGATGCACCCCAGCCTTGCATCAAGCCGTCACGAGATGCTTCCGGCCGCCTCTGGTAAATAGGTCCCTCCACAAACCACCTGTGTGTCCACCACAGATACCTCCGAGGCTGTCTGGCAGCAAGATTTCAGGTCAACGCTAGTTCAGATGTTTTATTGTTACCGCAGCCGGTCTTAGTTGTAACTCTGTGGAGCTATCTCCTGCTCGAAGTATACCGAAAGTAGAACTTACCATGACCGTGAGTGTTAACGGAGATGACCGCTGTGCGGAATCATGGCTTGTATCTTGACCCAACGATCTTGGATGACAATACAATTCGTGCTGTGATAAACCCTTTGTCCCCAGAATCAGATCTTGTTTTGGTTCCAACCTGACTTTGCCATGGGTTCTGGCACTCAGCCACCAGAAGCTGAGTGATGTAACTTGATTGTGAAGTTCAGCTGTAATCCGGAGCTAACTGGCATCTTGGTGAACCTAAATCTGGCCCAAGTAGAAGGCATTGGCGTGAGAATCTCTCGATGATGATATGAATTATAGGCTTGGTAAAGAGTACCATGTAATCTCGATGACGTAGATATGGCTCATAGGCTTGGTTACCGTGTGAATAGCCACTTGTTTCAAGATATTCTGCCGGTGGACGCTCCATTGCATTGGAAGCACCCTCCGAAGGAGAACCCGTGAGGCCTCTTTATCCCCGGATGTATGGGGATGTGCAGGCACCATCCTGCAGGTCTACCGGGCTACTTAATTGACTTGACGAAAGTAGTCTCAGTTGAGGTAGGTGGATCATTCTGAACCCGTCTGGTTTCAGATAGCTCTCAGTTCCATGATGCTGTAAATCAGTCTCAGAACTTCTTCCCTCGGAGTTCTTCGGGTACTAAGAAACATTGGGAGCAGGAGCCTGGAGCGAGATGATGCTGATCTATTATCTCTCAGCCCTTCATGCAGGAGCTGATGCCTTTGTAGTTTGTCTGCCTGCTCCTCTGTATAGTTGAAGACCATAGGACGGTAAGATCCTTTGTCAGCCTTCCTAAAAGCTGGAGTACTTCCTCTCCTGCTTCTGTATGCCGGAATATTTGGACTTGTTGGTTATACTTTGCATGGCGCATGATGATGACGTTGGCCAGGGCATCGGCGTGATTTCCTATCATCATAACTTCTCTAGAGTCGCATAGCTTCATCGTCACTATTCCAAAGATAGCTCCCTCCCATGGAGCTTCCTGCAGCGTTGGGTGAATCTGTCACCCATGAACAGGATGCAAAGGCCTTGTCTGCATAGTAAAGATATAGGGATGCCAGATGGTCCGATAAAAAGAATTGGTCCTTCTGAGTTAAGGAGTCGGTCATATTTCCATTTCCGTCATCTTCCAACTTGGAGTTCTGGAATTTACACCAATGCTTAATTGATAGCTCTTGGACTCCATAACCTAAAGAGGGATCTCTCGTAGCAGTATCGCCGGTGATAACTTTTTTATTTTCTAATTTTATAGCACTGGTTCGGGGACTCAGACCCTTTATAGTTATCATCCCATTCATGTTTCTTTGTAAATGGATCCATATGATGTATGTGGGGAATCTCTTCACATTAAATGATATGTAGATGCTGACTCTGGTAATTTGGATGTTGTCGAAGTTAAAAGGGAGGCTAGAGGGCAATCTGGGATATAGGTTCAATCGGAGGGAGGACGGGACAAGTCGGGCCATTACGTGATCATCATATAAGGGTAGATTCTATCTTTATCCTTAGAAGGAGGTTCCAAGTCCGGGTTTGGTAATCCAACAAATTCACTGAGCCCTTTGCCAACGAAAAGTCTCCTGATTATTAGAGCAAGGCCTCTGCAAATGATCCACCTCGGTAAACCTGTATCCCTTCTCGAACCTTCATCATCCTTTCTCGAACCTCATCTAAAGATTCCCCCTATGCTAACGTCTATCTTGAGAGTGCTCTCTTGAACCTCTGTGAGTTATCTCACGAATCGCCTGTAGCTAGATGTATCCCTTCGCTAACTTCTCTTCGTAATTTAACATCTATCTCCTGTGATGAGTGACTTCGAACGTCTGTGAGATATGGAGATCTCGGGATCTTAGAGCGGCTGTAGGGTGGGGAGATGATCCCTTCATTGTTCTCGGGAAGTTGAGGGTCTGTGAGATGTAGTTATTGCCAAATCAATACAGCGCCATTTTGAAGAATAGGACCTAAATAAAAAGTGGATATAAAGTTTCATGTATAGGGCCCCGCAAGCTCTAGCCAAACCACCACAAAAGGGAGAGATGGATAATTAAGGCACGCCACGACTGGAGTGAGTGTATTTCTTAAGACCTGGCGTGGGATTCAAGTGTTCCACTACCATTCACAAGGGTGGAGATAAGCGTGACTATGAGTCAGATAAGAAAAAATCTATATTAGTGACCTTAGTGTATCAAATATTTGAATTAATGGAATAATGAATATAAGAGGATTAGTTTTAGTCAGTGCCCAAATGTTTCTAAGAACAATAGTCACTAGATTGATTGTAAAGTTCTAACACTGATTCTTGCAGTGCATAAAGATACTTCTATTTGCTGCGCAATTAGATCTCTCTCAAAAGTGTAATAATTTCATTGCTATTGACCCAGAATACGTATATGTGAAACACCATGTAATGAGGTAATCTGTTTCCACTGTCTCTTGCTATTTTA